GGATTCATTTACTGACGATGAAATACCTGTAAATGATGCTTTATAAAGTATGATTGGAATTTATTTTTGCCTTCCTCTTTTCGTACCTGTGTTGTCAAAATGTCATGTTGTCTCATTTTTTAAAAGAAGTTAAATGACCTGGTGACACATGGTGACCTGGTGACACCTTCAGTTCTTCAAAAATAATTCATAACTGCCTTCCTCCTGTGTTGTCAAAATGTCATGAGTTAAATTACCTGGTGACCTGGTGACACCTTCAGTTCTTCAAAAATAATTCATAACTGCCTTCCTCCTGTGATGTTGTCAAAATGTCATGTTGTCTCATTTTTTAAAAGAAGTTAAATGACCTGGTGACACATGGTGACCTGGTGACACCTTCAGTTCTTCAAAAATAATTCATAACTGCCTTCCTCCTGTGTTGTCAAAATGTCATGAGTTAAATTACCTGGTGACCTGGTGACACCTTCAGTTCTTCAAAAATAATTCATAACTGCCTTCCTCCTGTGATGTTGTCAAAATGTCATGTTGTCACAAACTTTAGAACGGCATAATTTAAATTTTTATTTTTATCATAAATGGATACCCCACAAGCTCAAAATTTACCACGAATCATAACAAGGGAGGAAACGATAAAAATGATGCGAGAACTTGCTAAAAATAACAAACCACTAAAACTGAGAAAATGTGGTTATGCAGTAATGATGGAAAGAGAGACGTTGTCGAAGAGGAATAAAAATTAAATTTGGATTGAGTTTAAAAATTCATCTTTATTAAATTCATCTCTTCCAATCAATTTATTTATTCTATTAAATTCTTTTATTTTTGCTTCACTCAGTTTAAGGATTGAACGGTAAGTTTCTAATTTTTCGATTATTTCTTTATCGTTTTCAGTTCCATTAGTTTTATCGTTTTCAACCCCACCGCATTGCGGCTTCTTTTTGTATAGCAATTTTTGATTTAATTCTGTTTAGTTTCTTTTTATATTCATTGTCTGGACTCTTGACTGCTTCGTTGTCACTCATTTCTTACGAAATAAAAAAAATTAAAATATTTTAAATATAATGGAGTAATAAAATAAATCGGAATTTCTATTAATTTATTGTTAACCTCACTAATGCATTACCGTTAATATCTCTAACAAATTCAGCTATTGTGTCAAATCTTCGTCTTCTTTTGTCATTGATTTATCAGTTTTTCCATAATCGAGATGAATTAAAACTTTATTTCCTTGTTTAAAATTCATGAGCCCGAATTAATTTGTTCACGTTTAACATCATTCAACCTTTCCATTTGCTTTCTAATATATTCCCATTCTTTTGAAATATCATTTTTCATTTCCACCGGTTTCATGTTTATTGTTCTATGCCATGTATTATTATAATAATATACTAACTGTTGTATGATGGAGTCATGATTTCCATCCCAGTTATATCTGACCGTTAACCCTAACGCATCTCTAAGAGTTCTCATTACCGCATCAACTATTTTATTATGAAACGTATATGGAGAGGATGAAAAGAAAAATTAATTTGTGGAAATAATGAGCCATAACTGCCTGAAATCCTTTATCGCCATCACCCCTGATATTATCTACTCTTTCATGATCTAGTAAGTATTGTATAGCTCTTCTTGTTTCCTGTTCTGTTTTCCCTTTCACTGGAATGCAATATAAATATCTAGTGTTAATGTTAATGGCAAATAAATAAGTAACTTTTCCTTTTGAATATTCCAGATGATCGATTTCGTATGAATATGGATATGGAGCAAATGAAGGGCGACTAAATTTTTCCTTTAACGGTTGAATTTTTGGGTCAATTGGTTTATTTAATATCTTGAAATCCTTTTAAAATCTTTTTGCTTCTTTAATGTTTGAAATGGATATAATAAAGTGAATGATGAAGGATTAACTGAAGGAGGAGGCGGTACTGTCGTTGGAGGTTTTGGTGTTGCAAGTGGTTTAATTTTATCTGCTTTGATTTTGGATTTCATTCCCCCCCTCATTAATTCTGGATATATTCTATTCATTTGTTTTAAATATGCTGTAATAAAGGTTTGATATACTTTCCCGCTTCGAGTTATGTTGAAGGATGAATTCCAAAAGTTGATCTTCATTTAAAGTCGGGCTGAATATGGTTTAACTAATGAATCATAAATTAAAGCTTGTGCATCATTTATGGTCTGAAGGACCTGGGCGTTTTGCACTTTTGTTTTTGTTCCTTTGGCTTTTGCGGCTCAGGATTATATAAATTATATAATTCATCAATATCTTCTTCTGTTAATACTTTATTTTGAAATCTTTCAACTGTTTAAGTTGTGATTTAGTTTTCCCTTTGTATATTCATTATTTTTAATTTTGTCTTTAATTTTAGAAATTATTCTATCATGATATTTCAAAATTTCATTTTATAATATGGATAATAATATTCCATATCATCACCCGTTATATTGTTATCATATTTTTGGAGATATGCTTTTAAATCATAATAATCAAGAAAATTTTGATTAAATACTAAATCAGCAATTAAAATTTTTAAATCACGTTATCCATTTATATAAAAATAAAATCAATGTTTTAAGGGTGCCCACCTCTTTGAATCATAGTATCAAAACCATCATTAACGGTTCCTTTTGTCTCTTCTGTGGCATTTCATTAAGAATAAAATTTTAAATTGTATTAAATAAATGGCATACAACATCCATTTTCACAACATACAGCCTTAGTGTGTGCTCCTGTTAATGCAGTCTTACCGATTGTTAAGCGAGTCATTGACCCGTTTTTAAGTTGTAAATTAATATTCTGACCATCAAATATCACTTTATCATTTATTATATCCAAATATTTTTTAGGTGTTAATTGCTTATTTTGTCTTAAACTAACACCCTTCATTTTTTGTGCAATCTTTTTAAAATCACTTCCATCAATTGAACCGTTGAATGATGTATAACACTTAGGACATAAAGCAACCATGTTATCACCTTGTTTCTCAATTGCTAAACCCAATAACTTCTTCTCATGTGCTTTTTCTTCAACTTTATTCTTTAATTTAGGTTTAAATTTCTCATCAAAACAGAAGAAATCAAATGGTGCGAATTTGAAAATGTTTTTATCATAAAATTGTTTATCAGTAACAATTGCTTGAAATGCTTGAGTGTTAGGAAGATTTGGGTCGCCAGCGATTGCCCAATAAGATGAATCAGTATCACCTTCAATGAAATGAAAACGATTAAGATTCATGCATTTATACATAAAATCATAAATGAAAACCAAATACCAGTATTTAGCATTATCTAAAGTAAAAAATGCCTCTTGTAAACATGTATCACATCTATAAAATCTATCTTTGAGCATCATTTGATATGTATCTTCACCTATTTCTCTTATGTTTTTAAACTTATTTGACATGCATGCAACGCGTGCCTTCTGTGCATTCATTATTTTAGTCTTTGCGTAATTTTGTGTATTCATTGCATCGTAACCATATGATCCATTAAGTGAAATTTTGCAAAATAAACTTTTTCCTTTATTTCCTTCTAATTCAGCCTTTTGTCTTTCGTTCATAAATTTGTTCGCAAATTCATTAAAACAAGTGTTTTTCGTAAATGTTAAAATTGATTGAATGTCATCAATGAAAAATGAAATCTGTCTATTAGATACCAAAGATAATAAGAAGAAAAAATGGTTGATATTGGTGTGTGTTGATGCTAACTGAGTTAATTTTCTCTGTTTCTGGTCAACTGGTAGATTGTTTGATTTCATGTAATTATACATAAAACCGCCAATTGTTTTTTCATCTGTGATAATATCTAAGTTTCTTATTATCGGTAAAAAGTTTATGTAATCATTAATGTATTTTTCATCAATGTGACCCTTTACTTCAGCCACGAATAAAGTATTTTTCTTCTTAATTATTCCCAGTGCTTTTGCTTTCTTTGTTGCTGTATCACAAATGATAACACCATTCAATCTTCCCGGCATATACATTTTATGGTCAGTATATTGAATGAAATCATGAGGATTAGATGAAAATGATGAAGGATATAATGAATTAAAATCAACACCAACGAAATGAGTCATGATGTTGGAAGTGTCCTCATTTGATACAGTTTTAGTTTCTGGATTATATGCAAGTTTATTAATGTGCGTGATTCCTTTAAGATTTACTCTATGTTGAACATTTGATAGACCACCAGTAATTCCATTACGGAGAATGTGATAAGCTTCAACTGAATCTAAAGTCATTGGTAAATTATTTTTTAATGCATAATTTCTTAAATTGATTCTTAAACGTTGAACATCTTCATCTTTATTTGATTTTACGATATTGCAATAACAACACATTAACTGACAATTTTCTTTAGTATGTGGTTTTTCATTATCGATTCTATCTAATGTTGGTTTATTTGCATATGTAAACGCTTTACCACACATTTTGCATTTAGATGAAAGGATTAAATCGTGATAGTATTGAAAATCATCCATTGAAACATTATTTTTAGTATCCCTTTCTGCTTTTTCATCTTGTTTCTTATATGATTCAATTTTATATTTCCAATACTTTTTCGTTAATTCAAAACTTGATTCTATCTCTTCCTCAGGATATTTTTCATTAGGATTAAAGTCTTTATATGCTAAAGCGTAACGAATCATTGAAGCATTCGATGATAAAGAAAGATTATGAAGTATGTCAATTTTATAAACAAATGTTTCTTCAATAATTTTATCAATTGGGTCAATCATAATTTCAACATCTTTATTGCAATAATGAATAAAATATTCTAATCTATTCTTAAAATTTTTAGCATCATTGAGATATATTTGATAATCACTATCTGATATAGTTTCTTGAGTTAATGCTGAATAAAATGAATCTTGAGTGAATGGTTCCACTTTATATAATTCTTCTTCGTAATTTTCCCACGTGATGAATTGATACAAAATCGCTCGATATTGCATGAATTCTTACGTTTACAAAAAAAGTCACACAACCCATCCTATCCTACTACTCACTATGTGAAATAAGAAGTTCTATTGTTTCTTTACTATTATTAATTGTTGCATAATAGAGTACGGTTCTTCCATCTTTATCTTTTTCATTGATATTTGCACTATGTGAAATAAGAAGTTCTATTGTTTCTTTACTATTATTAATTGTTGCATAATAGAGTACGGTTCTTCCATCTTTATCTTTTTCATTGATATTTGCACCATGTGAAATAAGAAGTTCGGATGCTTCTTTATGTTTATTATGCGCTGCGTAATGAAGAGATGTTCTTCCATCTTTATCTTTTTCATTGATATTTGCACCATGTGAAATAAGTAGTTCCATTGTTTCTTTACTATTAAAATATGCTGCTAAATGAAGTGCGGTTCTTCCATCTTTATCTTTTTCATTGATACTTACACCAAGCGAAATAAGAAATTCCACTGTTTCATAACAATTATAATATACCGCATGATGAAGTGCATTTGTTCTTTCATCATCTAGATAATTGATATTTGCTCCATGCAAAAGGAAATATTCGCAAAGGGATGGAATATTGAACCTTGCTGAATTAATAAAGCATTCGTTACTGTTATTTTTCTGATCGAAAAAAACTAAAAATGCTTCAAGATTATTATACTCTCCACATTCAGTAGGATAGATCTCTAGTTTGTGTTCATTCATCAAAAATGTAACAAAATCAATGTTGTGAGAAATTATTGCATTTTTCATGCATCCTTGAAATGGAATTTGATATTTTAAACATTCACTCATGATATCTGGATTTCCTCCTAAAAATGATAATTCTAAACATGTTTCAGTTATTTCTGAGTTAAATTTTGTTCTCAAAAACTTGAAACAATCAACAGCGCTATGATAACAACAAAACTCAAGCAATGAATATGCTACATCATAGTCTTCGATTTTTTGATCTTTATCAAATCCATCTCTTTCAGTGATAACAATGAAATTTTCGAGATCATTATCCATAATTGCTCTGTAAATTTCGCTTGCTGAAAGAATCTCGAGATTTTCTGATATGTTTCTTTCGAAATCATTGTTTAATATAATTCCATATTCTTTATAAAACAGGTAATTTGAAACAACATCAATATTATTGACCTCTTTCACTTGATAATCATCATATATGAGTTTGATAAGAGTTAAATATGATTTTGAATAGCGATTATTATACTGAATGATATCAAATATGTCTTTTATAATATTTTGGGGAAGATATTTCTTTGAATCAATCAAATTTGTTTTGATAAGTTTGTAAATTGAGTTTAATTCATCTTTATTTTTTGTTTTCAACTGATACAATGCATTATATGAATCGATGTGGTATTTAAAGATACTGCGTAACTCACTGAATTTATTTGGTTGAATGTCTTGCGTAGACATAAAATTTTTAAAATTTACCATCTTTGAAATTCATTGGGAGAAAAATTTCTATGATAATCATGAGGCATACAAGTAATACAAAGATTTCAGAGAATACTTATGAATACTGATTATGCACATAGATAGGAAATGATACATTGGCAATAGTTAACTTGAAAGCAATAAGATATTCATGAATTAAATTTCAGAACTTTGCGTAAATTAGTTTACATTCAGGAGTAAAATATATCATACTAGGTATATAAGAAAATTATTCTGAGGTAAATATACCAAAAAATGAAATTTAAAATTTCGGACCCATTGGTAAGCCTTTTGATTGCGGTTCTTTCTTATTTCGACTTCATTCCGTATGATAATCGCTTTGCAAAATCATACTTGAAAGTTGTAGATCTCAAATCTGTTGATTACATGTAAACTATTGTTAACTTCCTATTTTATCAATAGTATGTATTTTACTTAGATTAATCTACTATTTGCAAAGAATTTAGATTGATTCCGAAAATTCAATTTCAAAAGCAAATTTGGAGAAAAAAACAAGGAAGTATTCATTTCATCTACAGAAAGAAAAAGTTTTTATAAAGATCAAAAACTGAAAATATAAAATATGTAAAAATAAATTACTTGAATTAGGTTGTTTCCAAAGAGGTGCTGACTGATTCAGGTTATTAAGAGCAAGTTTTAACACATAAACAACTGAAACATGGCTAATTATTCTCTTTTAGGATCGCTGGAATTTTGTAAGCAAATTTTCTCAATTTACGAAACGAAATAGAAGTTTGTTATGTTATACGTATCATAGTGTTAAAAGAATTTTTTCTTACCTCAACTTTACAACAGCAAAATCTGAAAAAATAATATTAAAAAGATATGCTTCTAAAACTGTAGTTTCAAATTGAAAAATAAAACCACAGAGTGTCTCAAATACTTTTAAAGCACCACAGTGAATTTTTTCAATAGCAAAAATCCAATTCTTTAAATGCATTTCATTCCTTATCATAACCGAAGTAATAATATCAATTTTTTGAATTATATTTAATGCTTCAATTTCTTTTGAATGTCACATCTCAATATTTATTGAAAACTTCGCTTCGATGATTTTTGAATGACTCTTATCAATAATTTGAGTGATGTAAAATATCAATATAATGTTTCAGCCTGTTTCGAAACCTATTTACGTAACCGAGGCATTATCTAGCGCTGAAAAAAGCACAATAACCAATAGCTTTTCAAGGCTATATTCACAGCAGATTTTAGTTTGGGCTGCTCAGCAAAAAAACAAAAAACGAAAGCAGTTAATGACTTTTCTTTCGATGCAGAGCCAATCCAATGCATCACAAAGCCGTAGATCACTTCCTACTGCAGTTAAACCCAATGATTTGATTCTGAAAAGTCTTAACTCATCCATTAATTTTAATTATTCCTTTAGAGATAGACCATGCACAAGAAAAATTAACGCAGACAGATTTTCATCCCATGGAATACGTGACCAAGGTATTTTTGGCTACCCTGAAGAGTATAAGACCAAGCCAACAAATCAATCTTCTTACACTGTCTTCATTGCTAAGAAATTGCTTACACCAGAAGCAGCAGCAAAGCTAACTCCATTTGCTGATGATTATTTCAAGCTCTTGAAAGAATTACAAGATTGGACAGAAAGAAAAGCAAACAGTACAACAGCCTCGCTTTATTCCGAACCAGAATCAATCAGACCAACTACTCAATACGCTGCCTTAAGGTCAAAAGGTGCCGAAGATCACGTTGCAACAACCAATGTAAATTACAAGTCTCAGAATGTAGAACCTGAGAAATTATATCATCCACCAACCACTTCTTACTCAGACTTCTTTAATAGAGAAAAGCAAATCACATCAACCAAACCGTTTTATCCTTTGGAGAGGTCTGTACCATTTTCAAGATTTGCTACTTCTTCAATGGGAAGCAGAAGCTGCGAAACATTTTCTATTTCTGAAGAAAATGAAATTCCAGAAAATATGAATGCATCCAAGAGATTCAGATCGATTTTTGAAGCTAAAACGGTTCTCTAAATTGCATCTTGTATCTTTTCTTATAAACTTTATATGATATTAGTCATTTTTAATTTTTTTAATTTTTTTCCTAAAATATTAGGTTGAATCAATAAGGATATAATAAAGTGAATCATATAGCACATATTATTAGTTTTAATATTCATATTTAATGAAATATTTTCAATTACTTTCAAATTAAATCTAATTATCAATTTCATATTCTATACAATATGCATAGATGAAATGGAGTTCCATTTCTTGATTTGAAGCATTGATAAAAATGGTTGAAACTGAAATTGATGATTTCATATCTTATCGGCGCTGGAAAATTACATCTACACATTCCCATAGCTTGTTCTTGATGTAAAATCAGTTTGAATGAGTCAAGGTTTATGGAATTGATTTTTTCAATTAGTGTCATACAATAATTTTGAGAACTTTACTTAAATTCAGCGATCGTTTTTTGAGAATTAATTACTGATTTTTATTCTACAATATCACAATGTGAGTATATTTTAAAAATTAGATCTCCCAAAAACGGTTTTGTCTGTCATTTGCCTAAAATGTTCTTGATCTTTGCAATTTGTGCACTTTCTAGGGTACATTATCACGATGAGCCAAGGTACGATGCCAATGGCCTTGGTAAGGCATTTAAGAAGATAACACATGTCGTCACAAGGCCAGTTAAAAAAGTTTTCCACGTTGCAACAAAGGTAACATCTGTTGTCACAAAACCAGTTGTTAGATTGATCCACCACTCATCAACATCTGAATGGGAATCACCATGCCAAATCACCAGTTTCACAACAAACACAGGATCAAATGATTGGGTTGTTGATAATTTGGATGATGCCGTTAATGATGTCGCTTCCCAGTTCAGCCTTAATGCTGATTCCGTCAGAAACTATTTCAACCGCTGCAAGTGGTCCCAGAATTCCAAGCAGCTCTTCAATAACCTTAACTTCGATAAGCTCGCTGACGTCAACCAGCGTTCTGCTCTTCGCGCTGCCACAGTTATCAAGGTTTCCAAGGACGGAAGCAACTTCAACATCAATGTTAGACAAATCTCCACACTTGCTAACATTTATGCTTCCACAGTTCGCAAGGATCACTCCAGAACACTCGTCTTCTCATCCTCTTCCACACATGCAAGCTGGCGTCCACTTGAGGCTAATGAACTCCAAGACATCTTCAATGCTTGCGAGGAAGAAATCGCCCCAACACTCAACCAGTACAAGGCAATTTAAAAATCTATTTAAATAGTTTTTAAATCCAACCATAATTCTTTTCAATTTTTTTTATCAGACTTTGAAATTGATTAAGAATTTGATCATACATAAAGTTACGATTGAAGTTTTAACTGATTAGAACTTATATTAATTGTATCTAAAAAATTTCTCAAATTTCAATACAGATAAATCTGAATCAAAGGCTAAATATATAAATATTATCTAGAAACAATTTAAAATTGTTATTAATTTGCAATATGACTGTAGAAATAGAATGTATTTTTCGAAATCTAACTATTTCTAATACGGCAGAGTATGTACTTTGGGTTGAAAGAATACAGTAGTGAGGTGAATGATTCAACTCATTCTTGTTTTGTTTTGGTCAACATTTATTGAAGCTTATAATCTACACAAGAATAATTAAGATATATTTTAAGAGAAAAACAATCAATCAAAGATCAATTCTAAATTTACATGGTTTTATTATAAATGATAGAGAGATATGTACTGACATATCTAAATTTATAAACAATTAAGGTTAGAGATCAGCATCGTTATCTCCGGGTTCTGTATCTGCAACTTGTTTCTGATATCCGACGTGTTTCTTTATAAGGAAAAATGCGAGAACACAAAGACAACAGACAACTATAAATATAGGAATTCCAGCACCTAAACCTATTTTGAGCTTCTTCATCCTTTCAGCCTGTTGTTCATCCTCTGTAGTTTCTTCTTTTTTTGTAGTTTCCTCTGTTTTCGTTTCTGAATTTTCTTCTGTTTTTGTTTCTTTACTTTCTTCAGGTTTAGTATCTGGTTTTTCATTTCCGTGATCTGGATCTGTTTGGTTTTGGGTGTTTCCGCCTTCTGTGTCTCCTCCAGGAACAGGATTAATGAATTTCGATGGATCCCAAGGAGAAAGTTTAATTGGATCGCGACTTACGTAATCTTTGTCCCATTCTGAGTATTTAGTTGGTTCATCACCAAAAGGATCGTTTAAGAAATGAGATGAATCTAAAGCGATTGAACGTTTGAACCTTTCAAATGGCGGACAATTAACAGCTGTTGAGCCAATAACGAAATCTTGCTCTGTACTTGTAGTTTTAGAGCAAATTAATTTGTTATCATTTTCATCAGAGAATTCTATTTGATCATCACCTATGTATTTGTATTTAAGACACTTCTGGGATCCAGGAATTGCGGCCATTCCGTCCGAACAAATTTCTTGAGGAGCAACATATTTTTGGAAGTCCATTTTTTCATCAATAGCTATTGTTGGCTCGTTATTGATATTGTAGTATTGTTTTCCTTGACAGTATTTCTTGTACATAGGAACTTCTTGATTATAATTACAATCTGGCACTGGATTGAAGTTATTAAATCCGTAATACTTAAAGTTATAACCTAAGACTTTTCATTTTGTTCGCCAGTCATCAAGTAATACTTTGGAAATGAAATTTGAGGAGATTCAATTGGAAAACCTGTCAAATAAGTAACTCCATCAATAGAATCTTTATTTCCCCATAAAAGAGGTTGTGCGGCTGTATAGTTTATCTTATAATTACCAGTATCAAGTAAGATTGCCATAGTTAAATCCGTAAATTTCACCCAATTTTTAGCTTGCGAGAGTGAGTTACTTGTCATTAAGTCTTGTATGTATGCCCTTAGCTTCGGATGAGATCCAATTGCTCCATCATCACCAGCATCTTCGAGTTCTACGCCAGATAAGCATCTTTCATTGTTATCACCGTAATAATATTCAACATTGTAGTGTTTCATTGCCCATTTGTGACAGAAAGGAGTGACAAGGAAAGTAAATTGTTTTCCACCTTTTATGAGACTGCATTTTGTTTCTCTATAAGGAGCATAGTCATCAATAGGATGAAACAAATTCATAAAGAAGCTATCACATCCAAGAGCATGAAAGATTTCGTGTAAATATAAATGATAAAAATGATTTGATGGTGTATCTTCGTCTTCGATCATTGTTGGATAGACTGCAGTATTGAGAAATATCACACCTTGAATTGGTCGTTCACCTCTTTCCATATCTGTTTGATATGATTTTGCAGAAGCGGCCATTAGACCATTATATGCGCGACCGCAAATAATAAAGTGCATATCACATCCGGTTACAGATTGAACTGGTAATGGATCTCTTTGCATTCCAACGCCATCACTATCAATATATATTGTATCCCTTGGCAATGGTCGAACTTGGAAATTTTTTTCTAAAAACTTCCTACAATTCTCTAATGTCCCTATAAAATTTTTCTTTTTCTCTTCAGTCATTAAATTTTCTTCTGTGCATGTTCCTGAAACATATGGATGCCAATGTAGATCTACTCCAGCCTCCCTACATAAATATCTATCTGTTCCTGCTGGATCAAGCCAATCGTAATTAAATTTTAATTTTATTGGGCGAAAATCAGGATAATCGGTAGCATATTTAACTTTTCGTTGTAGATCTCCGTTTCTTTGCATGCGAATAGGATTCGAAAGTATATCAGAAGCACAAAATCGAACAAAAAACATTTTATAAAAATTGAATTTCTGAAGCTCACAAAAATTATGCTCAAAAAATGAAAAAATATTGAGTACATAGCTAGATTAATAAAGATTATATAAATATTGAATTCAAATTTCATTGAATTTTTTCTCTTTGAATTTAAGTTAAAATGGAGCCATACTTGTGATCGAAATTTTAATTTAAAATGTAAACATTTACAAAATTTCAATTGTCATCATCCCTTTTCTATTGAATTTTTTCGTCTTTAAAACAAGTGGCTACATATCAACCCCAACCATTTTGGAATGGATTTAGAGATTTTACTTAGGCTCATATGCGTCATAAACGTAACTAAACTCCAATGGATGATTATAATCTTTTCACTCCACTACATTCTAAAGAAACTCATTCCAACAACCGACGCTCTCATGATTTATTATAATTACTTACATTTAATGGTATTTTCAATGTCAATGAAATGACATATATACGTGAAACATTTGTTCTCTGTTGCTGTGACCTTTTGGTTGTATCCTTGAATAATAGTAGAAGGAGGAGGAATATTTCCATAATAATTGGACCAAATGCTAGTTGGATCTTCTTCTTTAATATTGTAATAGGTTTCATTCGCCTGATTTTTGATATTGGTGCTAAGTAGTCTTTATAAGAATGTAAGGAAATAAGGATTTATGATAAATTTTAAAGTCTAGACTTTTCAATGCTCGATTTTAAGGTTCCGTTAAAATCGAGCTAATCATTGAAAGCTATGACAGACTTTCATATTTCTTCGGACTGTTTCAGAGAATTGAGCCTGAACTCAATTCTCTGAAAAGTCCGGACAAATTTGCTAAATTTTATAAGTAATAACTGTTGTACGAAGATATTTGATATGAATTTTATTCAGAAATGTTTATAATGTATCTAAATAAACAAAAATTTATTCAAACAAAATATGAATTTGGAAATTTATCATTGACAGCCTTTAGATTTCAGGAATGCTTTAACATCATCTTTCTTTCCTGCAGTTACAACTTGATAAGGTGTTTTTCCTTGTTTGTTTAAGGGATTTAACTTGATATCTTTCAAAGAAGTAAGATATTGGACAATTTGGATTTGCCCAGCATAACTTGCTTTATGTAAAGGTGTTTCATCATCTTTATCTAACGCATTTATATCAATATCTCTGCATTGACACAAAATCTGAACAATACTTAAGTTTCCATACAAAGAAGCCCAATGTAAGCTTGTTTCAAACTTGTTATCAATAGCATTTATGTTAATATCCCTGAGATTAACAAGAAATGCAACAATATTGACATTGTTTTTGATACTTGCCAAATGTAAAGCATTTCTATTGTATTTATCGATGACTTTTATGTCACAACCGTTTTCTGTTAAAAGTTTGACTAAATTGAAATCTCCGTTGTTAGAAGCCATCAAAAACATGGTTCTTTGGTATTCAATATCTTTAACTTCGGATAAATTGTTAAGAATTGCAAAGCGAATCGCATCAACGTCGTTTATTTGTGATGCATCTTTTAATATACTGTAAATCTTTTCGAAATCATCACTATTACATTTGCATACTTGTAATAGCTTGACGTATTTGTTTTCTGGGTCAGGTTGCTTTGGAATATATTCCATTTTTTTCGGTATCTTTGGGACATTCTTTGAAGCGTCGAGATATTTGGATAATGATTCCATTAAGTTCGAATTATCTTCTACAACATTATGGATTTGTACTGTTAAACTAGAATTAATTTTTTCTTTTTCTGCTAATTGAGCCTTTAAATGAGCAATATCGTTCTTCTGGTACTCATATACTTTACTTATATGTTCAAATGCTGTTGCTATGTATTTTAGCATACCGGAATTCAAACATTTTCGTAAAATATTTAATAAAGTATTAATTTTATCGATATTTTCACCGCTGTCCATCTTAACAGCTTGAAATATTAAAAATATCTGCTTAGCTGTGTATTTCTTCTGGCATTCGGTGAAAATCCAAATTGCTTGGTCTAAATTTAGTTCTGCATGCTCTAATATTTTGCAAGTATCTTCAACTTTGTAAAAATCAATTAATTTGTTCGTAGAGATAAGCTTATCTATTCCCTTTGCAAGAGTGTTGAAGTCAACTTCAGATTTCATTTTTTATGAAAATTTTTCATCGATGAAAATTTATGAGACGATACAAAATTTTAAATGTAAGATAGTGGATAAATGCTATTGACATGAATAACATGCAGAAACAATGCATTTTCACATGATATATCCTCCGATTATCAATTTTTTAAAATCTTCAATTTCTCCATGATTGTTGTATACGATTTCAAACCGAAAGTTAGTTTATGCATATGCATTAGCACTTAATGGTTTATCCTATACAGAATTTTATGATGAATCTATTCCAATATTGATTCAAATTATCTGATTTTACAGGGTATTTCAATGCCAATAATCAGGTAATATGCATATAAAATGATTTTAATTGATTCCAACTCGACGATCAATTGACAAATCAAATTTATCTATTGATGTTCGGTATAAGATTAGAGTACAGATATTTTTAATAACCACAGTATATAAATGAATGTAATGATACAAATTTTTGGAAATAATGAAAATTAATTTTATTCTTTAAATTACACTTCAGAATTGCAAACGCAAACAATTACAATATAAACTAGTGTCAAGCATACAATTTCCAATCCAATTAAAACAGAACCAATAAAAAATTAGCGAAAATATATGAAATTAATATCAAATAGAGATTTAGTATACGCATAATAATACAATAATATAAAGGATTTGGCTTATTTGTGACCAGCCTGTGCAGCAAATGTAAGCCATGATCCGGCAAAAACGCCGAGGTTTGTAGCGAGAACTGTGCAGAAAACAGCGAGATCAATTTCTTCCTTCTCGAGTTTCTCACTTGTAGCAGTGTATGTAATGCAAAGACCACCCCAATATCCACCTGTTAATGAGAGTGCAAGTGTTACAAAGTCAATGAAAATGTCATCCTGGAGGAAAACACCTTCAACTGGGCAAACATAAAGAACAATGAAGATAAGTCTGCAGAGATGAGGGATCCAAAGATACTTGGCAGATGGCCATGAGAACCATCTTGTAATGAGTCTTCCAACGAAATCACCAACCATAAACATGAAGAGAATGATTGTCATGTACCAATCGCCTAAATTGTGATGATCACCAACATAGAATGCATATCCAGGGAAGAAGGTAAGTGTGATTGCCATGTTAAAGAAGCCTTCAAGAACGAAAGGCCAGATCTTCTTGAAAACACCACCAATTCTCTTCATTCTGACTAAGAAGTTGGATGATGTTTGAGCTAATTTTACTCTTTCTTGGCAAATTTCTGTCTTGTTGAAGATATGGAAGCAAATAGCTGATGATGATGTGCAGATAACAGCAAATGCAAAGTAGAACCATCCATCACCTCTTGGGAATGTCTTTGAGATCATTCTGAGGATGGAAGAAATAAGGCCACCAAGTGCAACACCAGTGTTTGCCATAGCAGAAGTCTTTAAGCCGAAGAGTCCTGCAAAACCCATTGATGTACCATATAAAACACTTTGTGCAACAGAAGTAAGAGCAGCAAGAGTATAAACAACTTGGTACTTTGGAGTTCCAACATTAACGTAAATCCAAACTATAATTTGAACAGCAGCCATTAAAATTGTTGAAGCATACATTCTAGAGACTAACGTAAATTGTTCAATGAAAGGAAGAGTAATAAGATAGCAAACACCACTGGAAATAGTTAAAACTCGTGAAAGTTCCATACCAATGTCTCTTTCTGGGAATAATTTGACAAAGAAATCATTGCCATTAAGAAATGTATTGTAACTGTACAAGATATTTGTTCCGATAAGGAAGAAGAACATTTCAATAGTAAATGTAACTCTATTTTCAATGTTATCATCCTTCTTTTCGCTATCTTTGTTGTCTAATTGTGTTGATGACTCTTCAGACTTCTTATCATCAGATGTATATTCGGAATCCTTCTTGACCTCACCAGACTCTACGTCTTCAACTACTTGAGGATCTTCTTGAGACATTCCTTAATAGAAATGATACATTTTGAGAAGGTTGACATTTTCTTTCAAAAGTTTCAATCAATTGTTTGGCTGATTCATTAAGAAATTTATCACATTCAATTTTATTGAATAGTTCCGAACATTCAAGTTAATCATTATCATTTGTAAACTAATTTAAAATGATAAAATTTTACTATCGGTTTTATTTATAGAATTGTGAAGAATTTAACAAAAATGATAGTTATAGCATATCACTAGATTAACTTAATTATACATAGAAAATAAATTTATGGTTGCAAGAGTAAAAATCTTTACACCAGTATAAACTCTAAGAATTATCTGCCATCAAATATTCTCTTACTTGGAAACCACATTTTAAATACATATACATTTACAGTCATAGTTTATGATCGAAAATAAATGACCAAACTACATTCAATTTTATATCCATTGAAATTAAAACCCTTAATAATCTTACATTGAATCATATTTTAACAAAAATAATTTGCCGTTTTCCATTCAAATATAATTTCTTTAGAAAAAGTCATATTTTAATAATGAGGCTCGTATTGACAGTCGATTTGTATGATCTTTATTATTTGGACTAAGTAATAGATAAAGAAGTGGAAAATAATAGAATCTTTTATTTTTGATACAATATGAGTTAAAATTTTAAAATACATCATCTTCTTAAATACAAATATTTTACCTCATAATCTCTTATTTTACAAGAAAGGTTAAAACAATAAAACAACAATTGATTTCTATTTACGGGTAAAGCCTTTTTGGACTGAAATCCACAAACGTATCTAAGGGTTTCGTTTTGCGAAAAAAACGTACAATACGCAATTTCGCTAAAAAAACATTTAGCTAGCAATTTCGACCTTTGACTCCACTCAAGACGTCACTTTTTTAATTTTGCGGTATCATATTTTTGGAAAATCTTTATGAATATTATATAAAAAGTCTCTTTAATATCTATATTTCATATTTTTATCGATTTTTAAAGTTTTTGCGAAAAGTATTCAATTATTTTTGCTATTTGGTCGGGTAAATGTTAGATTTGCGACATTTTCTGATATGATATTCAGATTCTACGTTGATAATAATGCTTATAGAACCCTCTTGCTATTGTGTCAAAATTGCGAAACCGATAGCAAAAATATCTCGCAATATCAAAATTGAGATATTGAGTGAATTATGCATTATAGAGATTAAAAATCTGATTTGTGAAAACATCTCATCAGTTTCTAGCTAATTCAAAAATCTTTACTATCTTATTCGATTAAAATGAAAAGGGAATAGTTTCATTATGCTTTAAATGACAGCCTTATAATATAATCATAGTTTTCGCTCAATATGCAGCATTTTTTTTCGAAATCTATGGTCAATATCCTAAATACTGATTGCTTTGCATTCATATCTCTTACATTTTCTATACCCACATCACTATTCATTGCTATTCCTATCTTTTTCATTTTTGTTTGTTTCTCATAATTTCTCAAAAAACATGATAACTTGATATTTGTAAATATCATACTTTATAACGTAAATAAGAACTTGACCTATTAAGAAAAGCAGTAATGAAAAGAAAATCTGAAATTCATAAAAATTACAAGTTTCTGATGACAATTAGCTTAATTAAACCAGGTACAAGATTATATAATTGTATTTTCTATCCAATTATCCATATAATATCTTATCCAGAAAAAATAACTTGATCAATACCAAATGATTTTTTAACTAGTAAATAAAGTATTTTCTTTACACACACATTGTATATCATAGTTTTTTTTTTGGTTTCACAAAACATCCAAAAACAAATATGCTATAAAAGTGACAATTTTAGCAAAACGAAACCCTTAACGTATCAAAATGAAATGAACCTACATTGGATTTCAGCAGAAATTTATCGGTTCGATATTTAGATTATTCATTTTTCTTCGACTTTTTTCAAAAACTGCAATTAATAGAGAAATATTTTAAAGATTGTATCCACATAAGAATATATCATTTATATTATGGTCAGGGAACCTTTATATCATAAAAATTTTGGGAAGTTCAAAATCACAGGGTACGGGCGCGAATCATCGAGCAATTGAATTTACATAATAGATAACGTATTTTTTATCAATGTCAACTTTTTATTTTACCACAATACTGTACAAAATGCGAATTAAATAAAATTTTCTTAAACTTCTTCCAAATTCTGAAATTTTCCATTTAATTTGCAAATGCATTTATACACAATTTCCACAGCAACTTGGAAACAATAGATAAATTCATTAATGTATCCGCCATATATTCAAAACAGCTTAAAAATTGAAAATGTGCACGGAATTATTTTTGAATATATAATCAACATAAAAATCTCACAAAAATATTGTTGTGTTTTATCATACAGGAAGCATATCGCACATGTAATGATTTGCGATTTTGTTCCGAAAATATTAATGCAGCACATCCTTCTTTATCAATATTATCAGATTCCATAACTTTTGATCAAAATATTTATTCTGCAGAATTAAATATCGTAAATGGCACATCCTACGATATGAAAATTTACAAAATCAAGGATTCGGGTTTTAGGTTCCGAGTTGATCCAAATGAAAACTTAACAAAATATCGTTTTAAATTTGATAAAGATAATATTTTAGTAAACAGTCAAAAACTCAGTACAACGGATTCCATTCAACGTAGTACATCATCAAATACCGATACTTTAACATCAACAGATGGGACAAGTGTTCAAATTACATATAATCCTTTCTCACTCAAATTTATGAACGATGGTGTTACGTACCTTCAAGTCAACTCCGAAAACTTCATGTTCATTGAGGATGGAAGCGAAATAACTGAGACAGGAACCGAAAATTTTCCTCACGGAAAAACAGCTGTAGGTATAGATATTTCCTTCATGACATCTGGCATAAGACTTACCGGTTTTGGTGAAAATACGAAGTCATTAAATCTTCAAGATACAACATCTGAAAGAAAGTTCATCAGACCAGAGTTCGGATACAACGGATATGTTCCTTTACTTATTGGGCATTCATCAAGTCTCAAACTTAATCCTTCAATTTTTTGGATGAATCCAACCGATACTTTTTACAGTTTGAAGACTACAAGCGATAAGAAAGTATTCAAAATCATATCAGAAGGCGGATTTATCGATATTGTCTTCTTTATTGACAAAATTTCATCTGTCATTACAAAATATGAACAAATTACAGGCAGAGCACCACAACCACCAGCATATGCATTTGGATACCATCAGAACCGTGAAAGTTACGACACAATTGATAAAATTAATGAAGTTTTGAACGGATTTTCTTCAAATGAGATTCCTCATGACACAATAGTCATTAATTCAGACAAATTCACTGACGCACAGATCACAAACTTGAAAGACACTTTAACTTCTCAAAATCGTTACTTAATTTTACAGAAAAAGCCACAAATAAAAATTGACGCAAATAACAATATTTACAAAGAATTTCTTGATGAAAAGATCTTCCTCCAAAAGCCACAAACAGAAACCACAACTCCAGAAACAACAGATCCTTCTGAACCAGCAAATCCTTCTGAAACAACTGAAGAAAATTCATTAAGAAAATTATTTTCATTTGAAAAATCATCAAATGGAAACAAAAACATATTGGTTTATTCAAAGAAAGCAAACAATTTCAACATTTTAGAAGAAACACAAAATGATGATATCTTTGCTGTCGGATTGAATGAAAATGATAAAAATTGTTCTTACCCTGATGTCATAAAATCTGACTATAGATCACTTTACACAAGTAAAGTGTCAAATGGCAATTATTATATACAAAATTCACAAATTTATGTGAATGATCAACAAGATTTTACCGAAAATAAAGAATGGCTCCGCATATAATGTTTTCTTTGATGCAGCTATAAGTAATTCAGAAAACGATGATAACCGTAACTTTTTATCGTCAAATGTTTCAGTGGATCGCAAAAATACGTATGGCCAATACAATCACAAAAAGATTTTGGCGCTGATAGTTTACAAATAGCTGTTAATAACTTAATAACAAACAGTTTATCAGGGTTAGTATACACAGGAAGTGATTTATTTATCGATAAAAGTGACAATGAATTATTATTACGGTTTTATCAATTAAGTTTATTCACTTTTCCTTTTGTTAGAGACAATACTAATTCTATAACAATAACACAAGAACCATATTCTTCTGGTAGTAAAGATTAAATCAAAGCAATGATAAATCAAAGATACCAAATGATTCCAATTTGGTACACAGCTGCTTATCAACACTTTACAACAGGAGATCCAATTGTTAAACCTTTATGGTATTTGTATCCCGACAATGATGATTTCCATGATATTTCTGACCAGTTAATTGTCAGTGATTCTATTATGGTTTGCCCTGTTTTGACTAAAGGAAAAACATCAAGAAATGTTGTAAAACCTCCTGGAAAATGGTTTAATTACGAAACAGGCCAAGAATTCAAAGAAACTGGAAGTTTTGACAGTCCTTTGACAAAACCGTTGATGTTTTTGAAGGCAGGAACTATAATTCCTTTATTTTGCTAGATACAACCAAGATATAACATTACTTATCGTTTTGGATGAAAACAAAAAAGCTGAAGGTTCTTTGTATTACGATGATGGAATTTCTACCAAAAACATCGAAAATAATTTGTATGTTTATTCTGCTTTCACTTATGAAGATGGTATCTTCAAGAATGCACCACATGGAGAGACAACAATCTCTAAAAAGATGGTTTCAATGAAGATTTATAACGCTGACAGTAAAAAAGATGTAAAAATTGACGGAAACGTGACAACTGATGATGGAGGCGTCATTACAGTCACAGGATTAGATATTGATGTTGGTAAGAACTATATTTCATCTTCGCCTAAAGCAATCATTGATTTTTACACTAAATATTTAGGTGAAACAGTTGATATAAGCATTTCGAAAACTCCTCCAGATCCCCGTAACATTGAACGAATTTGTCAAGAATCGGTAGAAATATTTAAGTCTCAAGGAACAGTAATTAAACTTACAGGTGCGTTTACGATAATAGGAGACATTCATGGCAATTTGCAAGATCTTTTAAACATCTTTTCAATATTTGGACTCCCGCCAAAAACAAAATATATGTTCCTCGGAGATTATGTTGACAGAGGACAGTATTCTGTTGAAGTCATTTCATTGTTGCTTTCTCTAGTATGCAAATATCCACATCACGTTTACTTAATCAGAGGAAACCACGAATTTCAACATATTAACAAAGTATATGGTTTTTATGATGAAATCATGGCTAAATATAATAACGGAGAAATATGGAAGACTTTTAATACTGTTTTCAGCTATCTTCCATTAGCTTCAACAATAAATGAACAGATTTTCTGTGTACATGGTGGGTTATCACCATGAACACATTCTATTGTTGATATTGCAAGTATTAGCCTTCCAATTGTAACATACGAAAAATTACCACAAGTATCAGATTTGGTTTGGTCTGATCCTTCTAGTGAATGCCTAGACTTCCAGCCTAGCGATCGTGGCGCTGGAGTATTGTTTGGAAAACGCGCTGTACAGTCATTTTTACAAAATTCTAATTTATCGCTTTTAATACGAGGCCACCAATGCATTTCAACAGGAGTTCATGCATTCGCTGGAATGATGGGCATAACAATCTTCTCTTCCAGTAAATATGTGAACGATGATAACAAATGTGGGGTTTCAGTTGTTTCTGCACATAATAACATGAACTTTTATTCAATTGATGGTCTTAAAATACTTGAAAAAGCCTCTATGTCCCTCAAAGAAGGTTTGATCGGTTTGCAACCATTTTCTCCATCAAAATTAAGGGTTCATAAGCCTAGAAACTACCAAACGATGGACCAACCTTAAGAAAAAAGTTGTTTTTATGCGGATTTGAAATTTATTTTTCAATTTCTGTGTACCATAGCTGACTTACGTTAGCATTATTGTTTTAATATCTGTATATATTACTTTAATAAACTATTTGTATAGTTATCACCTTATTATTTTGATAAATTTCATTTTTGCATTTTATTATAATGAAAACTAACAAAAATTACTAATTATCACACAAACAAACTTGTGGCACAGTAATTTAGCCTAAACCTTAGCATAAAGAGTGAAATATATTTTAAAAAATCACATTGTTACAAAATTATGTATTTAAAATACAATCCCCATGAAAACAAAATGATCCACAATATTGTTGAGATTCAATTAATTGAATGAAATATTAATATTTTATATTCTTCAATATCAGTAATATCTGATCATGTATTGAGTCTCCTAATGGACAAATATAAGATTGATACTGTGAAATCTACTGCAACTTATATTTGTCAGTATCTTCTTTTCACTTTTGTATAAATGCTATTTTTGCTTTTCTTCAAGAAAAATGTCGAAATTCCTGACGGAGTGAGATCCAGTTTCATAGGAAGCTATGGATTTCTTCCAGATGGAGAGTATCATTTTACATTTAATCCCATTCAAAAATCTACAGATCCAGAAACAATAGTCTTATCATTCTTAACTAAGGCAGAATATCGTAAATTACCATTTTATAGCACAGAAACAGCAAATAACTGCAATTATCAGTTTGCAGATTTGAGTTATACCCTTGAAATCAAAAATGAAAGTGTGAAATTAGATGGAAATTTTACAGATGATCGTATATACATATTCCATGTTCTTAAGTGCAACTCAACAAATGAAATTACATTATCAGAACAGTTCAGAAACAAAAATACATTTTTAGATTCCAGGGTTATTCCGTGTAAAACCATATATCCTATTTGCATTGGCGCAACATTACTGTTGTTTTCATTTTGGGCCATATTTAACAACAACAAAGCAAGAGCAAGAGGAACTATCTTCATTTTCACGACATTATGCGGAACTGTTTACACATTTCACTTAATTGGTGAGTACATAGCAATTAAATTCAGCGAAAAGACAGATTCGATACTTGCTGTTTCGATAATTACGATAATTATTGATATTTTTAACGATTCTATCTTCTTTACATCGATAATGATCATGTCCAGTGGATTTGGACTTATTAACATATCATTATCTCTATTTACTAAGATCAAAGCCGTTTTAGTTCCTTTAATTTTATTTACTTTCGCTGCGATTAGTTCTAATATACCTACTAAGTACGTTGTCATTACATATCCTGCTGTTATACTCTGTACAATCGTTTTCGGTTACGATATCCTCAAATTAATTCGTCAAGGTGAAAAACGAGTTATGGCACACATGTTGGTCATCCAACGAACAGGAATTGATCCAGATACAACACCAATAGGTGCCAGATACAAGATATTTAGACAAATGACATTTTATGTTGCTTCTGCAATTTCGTTATTTTGTTTGATGTTGATTTTCGAAGCTTGTTATGATTTAGACAGATATTTATTCGAAATCATTGATTTCATTGTCCATTTCAGTCTCCTTTCTGTTTTATTGTACATTTACAGACCAGGAAAAGCTGACTATTTGGCTGACGAAAACAATGTTTCAGAAACATTTGATTTAGATGATTTAGACACAATTGGAAACACATTGAGACTTACATCTAATGCAGAAACAATGAGACGATGGGAACCAGGAGAATCCCTTCCAAGAGAACCAACTTACACTTCAAAGAAGAAAGCAAATGATGGACAATTGTATTCAGCTTTATAAATATTTATATTTTTATTTTAACTTTTTTTTATTAATAAAAATCAGTTTGTAAATGCATCTAAAAACTATTTTTTAATAAATTTGCATTGTAAGAAATGCTATGTATGTATATTAATAATATATATCTAATAGAATATCTGATAATAAGTGCTATGGCTCATAATTCATGCTTTTTGGAAGAGATAAAATTCAAATTCAGAAATATCAGCATAATTGCAATAAGATTGAACAGGAACAACATGGTATAAATTACGAAATTTTTTAAACACGACGATAGGGGAAGCTTGGCCTTTAGCGCGCCCTTAAACGTCGAAAAACATAAGGAATACCAACATTTGAACAATTATTTCTCTGTTTACCATAACTGTTGATATTTGCAATACATATTGCTTCAGGATAAATATTTAACGCATTTTGAAATTCTTTTGTGTACATTAAATTAACATTCGCATCTCCATAGTCAGTATTAGTATTTGAGATGTAGCAATGAATTATATTCATTGTTCAATAATCATATGCATTAAATATTTGAGATTTTACATCATTGTCACAAATTATTGAGTCTTCGATATTCAATGAGTTTCCAACTTTCAATGAAGCAATTAGAGGCCATAAGCCAACCTTATTTGAAATAACATTCAAATGATGAAAATGTGCTTTTCCGATTTCATTTGTAATTACGTATTCTAGGTAATTGCCATTTTGTAAGTATGCCGAATATTTTGCAACAGCTATACCTGTTGAATCAAATATATGTAGTCCAGGATGCCTTCCTGTGTTATAAGAATTATTAATCGCGTTTACAATGATATTTCCTCTTTGATTCGATGATACGACACCTTGTCCATTATTGTCATCGTTATTTGCAAATGTTGACTCATTTAAATGGTTCGCAAAATTGAAACCTCTTGAAACTCTAGATGAACAATGGAGAAAGTAATAAGATTTGTAGCATATGTTGAACATACATGTATTTGTACAGATTGGCTTTCATCAAACATCTTTAACGCTACTCCACCTGTAGGACTGAAATTATTGGTGAAAAAAGTTTTCTCAATATAGAGTTTTGTCGCTGAATAAGTTGAATTCAGGTATATGCAACTATTTGCGAGATTTTGAAACAAGCAGTTTTCAACATCGTAGTTGAGCAACGGAAAGATAAGCCCAGATTGTTTGAAAACACTTGTCTGCTTGATAAAATCATTGGTTCCATAGAAATCTTGAAATGAACTATATAGGGCTAAAGTTTTGGGCCTGTTAACCCTATTGAAAACAAGAATGGATAGCATTCATTAAAATGATAATCAATTCTATGAGTTCCCTCAAAACTCGTCTATTGTCGTTGTTATTGACTGCAATATTTTATATCGAATATTGTTACTATTAATTTTTAGTAATATTTATAAGATTTTAAAATTGAATGGACATTTAATTTGACTTTTGAAATTTAGTTCAAATTTCAATAATCAAAAATTATTGCTTTTTACATATGACATATAAAATTAAATATTAATGAAATAACCTCAAAAAAGCTTAACGTGCATGGATAAAATTTATTATCTATAATGCAATTAACTATACTGCAGAAATACAGAAATACAATATTGTAAAATTTGATCGATCAATATGGTTAGATTAGTAGTATATGTGGAAGGGTTGTGTGACTTTTTTTGTAAACGTAAGAATTCATACAATATCGAGCGATTTTGTATCATTTTTTTTAACATATGAAGTAAAAAATGTATGATTCTGACGGTTTTTATTCTTACGTTTTTGAATAAATCAAGATTTAAAAAATTTTCAAAATTGTAAGACATTTACACTCAGCCCAAATATTATATACTAAACGCATTAAAAAATTAACATATTAATTTTAAAATAATTTATTTTTTATCTTTTATAAAAGAAGCTATATATAGATGATGTCAGATATTCCGCGATTAATTAAACATTGTTTAAATCCTGAATGGAATCAATGGAGTCATAATCAAAGACCTCATAAACGAGTAAAAGATTCACTACCATAATGAAATAAAAAATAAAAAAATAAACTTTAAAAATTCATGTCTCAGAATCAACATTGAACTTTAAGAAACTAATGATTATTTGAATTTATGATATCAATTATTTGATTTATTCTTTCTTCAATCTCTTCTATTCTTTTTGTTAAATCATCTATTTTCATTAATGAGGTGATTCTTGATTGAGGAATAGATTTCAAACTAACCACCCCCTTTATTTTTGAAATTTTGAATCCATCAACTTTAAACATTTTATTCAATTTACATGTTGTCAATTCTTCAAATAATTTTTTATTATTAGCATAATAGTCATTAAATTCTTCAACAGATGAAAAAAATTTTATTTCAGTAATTGGTTTAACAACGTTTATTTTTTGTTGAACATCTTCACTTTCATTTATTTCTTCCTCCTCTGTTTCATTTATTTTTAAAATTGGTTTCATTTATCATTAAATAAAAATTAGAATATAAGTGATGAAATATATTTTTTAATTAATATTAAATCAGAAATGGCGGCAGGATTCTTTAAAAAATTATGGGATGGAATTAAGAAAGCTGCGGGTTGGGTTCATAAAAAGATTATTAAACCCGTTGCAAACTTTTTAGCACCAGTAGCGAAAACGGCAGGAACTATCATAGGTGGAGTATTAGGTACTAAAGCAGGTAATCCGGCGATGGGAGCACAAGCAGGTAACGCAGTTGGTGGAATAGCTGAAGGAATACTTAATAAAATAGGAGGTAGATAGTGGAAAAATAAATTATTTTTATCTTAGTATCGGTTGAAGTCTTTGATAAACTTTTTCTCCTTTATTTAATATTTCTCTTATTGGGGCAGCTTTTGGTGTTATTGATTCAGCAACGTCACTAATTGCTTCTTTATTCTTAAATATCCAATTTGCTCCTTTCTTCATTGTTTCCCAAACTTTATGCGCTCCTCTTTTTACTTTATCCCATAATTTTTTAAAGAATCCTGCAGCCATAGTTGATTATTTCATTAAAATTAAAAATTCATTTTCATCTTTTAATTTTGATTTTTTATTTATTAATAAATGACGACTAACTATTTGGTGCCAAACACTAAACCGATTAATGGAAATGTGTTTCATTCATTCGAAAAGATAAATGAAATATTCGCAAAGAATGACGGTAGAAGATATTATAGAGAACTTGAAAGTTCATGCTATGACTCTGATGCTCCATATTTTGATGATAAACAAACTCATTTAAGAATTACAAATCCGGCTCATGATGTGAACCAATTAGGTGACACATATATTAAACGCAAAGTTAAAGCAACTCTAGTTTCAAAAAAGCTTTCACATGTGATGCCGCTTTTAAATGCATGCGTTTATTCGTTGGTTACAAATCATCAAATCAAAGCTTTAAACAATTAGAAGTAGAAACCGAAAGAGGTGATGCCGGTTATCTTCAGATGGATTGCGCCCGTGAATCTTTCGCATTTGCAACATATAAACCAAAATCAGAAAGGAAAGTTAAAAAGTTTGTTCATTCGTTATATAATAATGTTCAAAAATATGATAACTCAGTATGTGGTAAATATATTGACCCTTCAGAAGTTTTCAAGAAGCAAATGAAGAAGTTGATGTCACTTTTGATATGATTATTCCGGTAAATGATTTGTTAGCATTTCAGGCGTTCGATGATTATCCTAAATCATTTGGTGATATCATTCTTAAATATTATGTTTTCAGGGATACTTTAGTATTTTGTCAGGTTGACCCGTTAAGAGTTGCTGATTTACAAAATTACGTTTATGAAAAGATAACTGATGAAAATTATGAAAAGATTATGAATCATGTTTATAAATATGATCGCAAATTCCAACAAATCGGACTTCCTGCCAAATTAATTACAAGCTTAGCCGCTACATCTGCTGACGCAACAGTTGATGACGTTATTATTTCATGCACAAAGATGGAAGTTTTAGAGGATAAATGCATTACACCAGGATACGGTTTAATTGAAGAATCAGTTAAAGCAATACCACGTTTATTCAGTAAGGAAGATCCATTCATGATTCCAGCTCAACATATTGACGTTCGTTCACTAAATGGAGGTTGCATCACTCCTGAAGGTATTAGCTCAGATTTCTCATACGCTCTTCATAATGTTACAGATGTTGTGTTAACATTTCCGAAGAATGCAATGCAAAGAACAGTTTTAGAAAATCCAATGCTTCGAGGTCTTCAGGTCACTATAGATTCCAGAAACTTCCCCGATCAAGCGATGACCACAGTGGGTGACATATTCTTTACACGTATGCTTCAAGCTTCTGATTTAGATGGAGTGAATGAATGCACAGAAGAATACGAGGACTCATTAACTAGACCACTGAATGCAGATGATGGCACGCCATTAGCTAGAACATGGAAAGACCAAACTTCATTCTTATGCACTATTCCAGTTCAACGTGATGGAGCGGGTATATTCTTTGATGGATTAGAAACTTTCAACTCACAAGTTACAGTACAAGTGAAAGCTTATCCAATCATTCAGGGTGAAAATGACACTTACTGTTCAAAGGTGACAAATCCTCCTCAGGTTTGGTTTACTAGGACTACATATTGGACATGGACACCGGATGAAGGTTTGAAATATCATCCAACAGGTACACCACCACAGTATAGAAGTTCATATGATGAAATATTGATGAATAGAAATGTTTAAAATTATAAATTTATTTTTGATTAAATGGATTTAAATTCATCCACCCCTTATGAAGAATTAGGAGTATATAATACATACGTAGATGATATGATTAATGAAGCATTGAGTGATAATAGAAATGCTCTATCTAAGGAAAAATTAATGAAAATTCCATATTCTGAATGTTACTTAAATTCAATCACTGCAGCAATTGGTAAACAAAATAAAGGTAAAACATTAACGATATTAAAACAAATTATCATTATTGCTAACACTTCCCCCTATTCACATGTGTTAATTTATATCAACCGTTCAGGTTCACCTTCAGATGATACATTTGAATCTTTAAAGCATTTAATCAAAATTCCAATTATTTATTTATCACAAGAAGAAGCAGAAGATTATTTAAAAAACTTTTTAATGTATAAAGAATTATATAATACAATCAAGAAGCAAGGATTAGAGGATAAAATTATTGATAAACAACGGGATGAATTATTTGAAACACTTTCTATTTCAAATTTTGATAGAGAATTTTTGCATTCACTCATTTTTCTAGATGATGCAGTGAAATCAAAACTAATAACAAATGAGAAATCATATTTTAATCAGTTATTAACTCAATGTCGACACATTCAGTGTTCATTCTTTATGGCTGTTCAATATTTCAAAGCATTAAGCACAAACATTAAATCAAATCTATCAACCTTTTCATTTTCAGTGGGTTTAGTCGTCAACAGTTGAACGTTATGCTTTATCAAGTGAATTTACCAATGAGCATTAATGAACTTTACACACAATATCAGCAATTAGGTGAACATGGAAAAATAATAGTTGATTTAAATAAAGGAAGTGTTAAATTTGATTAACTTTTTATAATTAATTTTTATTTTTTATTTATAATTAAACATGACAGAAATAGCAAATCTTCTACAGGTTCCATTAAAACAAGGACAAACAAAAAGGGTGCATATAATAGAACTATGAAAGTTCCTGATGGAATGAAAGAATTAGTTCATATTGTTGCTGGTCTTCAAAAAGATGTTAAACAAATGAGAAACGTTTTAACATTACCAGAAGCTCAAGCATATGCCAAACGTCATGGTCCAAATTGGGAAGCACACGAAGCAGACATTACGGGTCCAAATGGAAAACCTGATGGTATAAATGAAGTTTTCGTTACTGATGGTCAAGGTAATATTAAAGTCATAAATGGTTATAAATTAACTATATCTGATTATCCTAAACGTAAAGCATATAATGAACGTTATCCTATGCAATTTGATGAAAATGGAAAAGCTGTTAAACAATACATTGGAGAAGGTGAAAATGGTCCAATTAATTCATACCGTCATAATCCATATTCTTATTTCAATGAAGAATTAAATGCTATTGAAGAGGGACCGGATGGATTACCACGATATTCTAACCAGTTTGATGGTCAATATGCAAATATTAGACCTGAAATTTCAGCTAAGAAATTCTTTAAAGTTGCTTTATTCGATCCAGTTTTCGCAAATGTTAAAGATGAACTTAAACAGCAATTCCAACCAATTATAGTAGCAAGAATTGCATCAGGTGCTTTATCTCAAGCATTCAAAGATTTAATTAAGAAACCATTATATCAGCAACGTGGTTTAACTTATGATTTAGTTAAGGAATCAGATAAAAGAAAATTTGAGAAATCAGATGATTATAAGAATGCAATTAATGAATATATTCGGTCTATTAATTTCGATGAAAGCTAAAAATCAACTTCATGAACAAATACAGGGAATAATAGATTCAAAAGTTCCAGCAAAATAAAAGTTTAAATATATTTTTTTTATTCGATTATAAATGAGAAGACGTTTCACTAGTCAAAAGAACACTAACGCAAAAGCAGAGATTACGGTTGGTTATAACGTAAATGATGATAAATCACGAATTATTCAAAATGTTAAAGTTAATGTTAGCCCTGAATTAACAAGGTCAGCAACTCAACCAAATTTATTAACTCGTGACTTACCGAAAAAGGAGGAGGAGCAAAATAAAGAAGATGGAGACCCAATCATTTTATCTGAACCCGGTAAAGAACCTGTTGAAATTCCCACTTATCCAACATACCCCCACCTCTTTCATCAAACATCGAGAACCCATATAAAATAGACATTAATTCTGAATTAATGAAAATTTACCGTGATATAATAATTAATAATTATGATTCAATAATAAATTTAATTGACCAATCCGGTTTAATTATTTTACCTTATGAATCATTAATTCACATTATCGCCATTCTTTGTGATGTTCAAGATTCAGACGTTAAGATTCAATTTTTCATAGATGATGAGGTTTCATGCTGCGGAACAGTTGCAAAAATAAATCCTATAAAGGATATTAGCACAATTAAGATATCAAAGAACGGAACAACAACTGAACTTCATTTAACATATAATGATATTTATAATAAAATAGTTGATGAATATAAAATATCACTTGAAAAATTCTTTGTTAAGGCTATTTAATATTCAAGCATTAACATTATCGAATAATAATCCTTTGAATCATAATCAATAATAATTGACCTTTCACCAGTTTCTATCGTTTGTTTTATTTCTTTTTGTTCCCCACTATCCGGATCGGTCATTGTAATTGTTTTTGTTATAGTATCAGCTTTATCTTTAACTTCAATCTTTTTTCCATCGGGATATTTAAACCAAAATTCCAAAAATTCGATATTGTCAATCTGTTCATATTTTAATCTATCAATTACATTTTTAATACCATCTGAAAATCTTATGAAATGGTCATTATATGGGTTTGATTGAACTAAATTTGAATGAAGTGAAATATAACCTGTTGATGAATATGACATTGACTCATATTTTCTGAAAACACTAAAATTTATAACATGAATGAATTTCTTATTCGTTGAATTTATGAATTCTTGAGGTAATCTTATTCTAGTTTTATTTATCACTGGAAAATAACGCTTTACCATATTTTTAATCGTAATAAAAATGTCAATTATCAATATTATTTCGAATAATAGCTGTGAATTAAATTTAACAGTTAGCGGAATTTATAATGTTACTCTCGTTTCTGTGAGTGGTAAATTTAATCCCATTCTTTTAGACCCTTCAGATTATATATCATTTATTAAAGATGACCTTGAAAAAACGTATGATATGTATATAAATAATGTGATAGCGAAATGGGATATTAACATGATTTTAAGTTATTTAAATGAATCATTTATCGTATGGTATGAAGAAAATTTTAAATCAAAACCTGATAAACTTTTTGAACTTGATGAAATAAATAACCTTATTAAATTTCCGCTGAAAATTAAATTTTGTACTCCTCATCTTCGTTCATTGTTGGGGATATTAAATTTTGAAAAAGATGTTGGGGATGTTTTGTATTCTGACACTGGTTCCAATTTCATTTTAATCAAATGTGATAAAGTTAATACCCCAATGAGATTTTCACATCAAACATTAGACCCTAACTCTTACCCATCAATACAAAACATTTTATCCATCAACTTAAACACATTTTCTTTATCATATCCGTTTCAATTATCCGGGAATTCATTTATTCTTCATTCAAAAGATTTATCAAATATTAAATTTAGAATAACTGACCTATTTGATTGTGATTTAGAATTCATGAATGAAATATTATGGCAATTTCAAATAGAAAAAATAGGTGATGAGATAACGGATTAAATATTTATTTTTAAATCATAATAAATGATTAAACAACAGCAACCACAACAACTTAAGGCACAAAGCACCCAGGTCCTTCAGACCATTACATACGCCATATATGCATATAATTCAAAGACGGCAGAATAAACGCAAAGGTTGAAATATGGAGATTTGGAGATAGTATTGAAAAATGAACATTTCAAATTCGTTTGCAAAGGTGGTGCAGTGATATCAAATATAAAAGAAATTTTATTTATGAATTCAAAAATTAAAGGAATAACGGATGATATAACATCAATTCCACCAGAAGAACAGAGATATTACGCATTAAATGCATTTCCTAAAGTTTTGAAGATTGGAAGATTTAATTTAAATGAGGAATTCATAGAAGGTTTCCTAAATGACATAATGAAGAAGGTGGATAAGGAATATGTGGATAGTGAGTTAAATAAGAAGGCAAATTTGGTTTATGTTGATGAAAAAGATAATGAAATTAAAGAAAAGGTTGAATGGTATCATGAATGGACATTGGAGACTTTTAAAGTTAAAGCTGATACAGAATGGGTTTCGGGATGTTTAGACCTTAAAGCAGATAAAACTTATGTTGATGAAAATTATGCAAAGAAGTCGGAAGTAAATGATGTGATTACAAGCATGAAAAATGAAATACTTCAAACATTATATCCTGTTGGTTCTATCTATACGTCAATGAACTCAACAAATCCAGCAAGTGTTTTAGGTTTTGGTACGTGGAAGCAGATTGTAGATAAATTCTTATACTGTGCTAGATATTCAAAGCAAACAGGAGGTTCGAAGAAAATTAAAGAAGCAAACCTTCCACCACACACTCATACAGGAACTACAAACTTTTCTGGTGACCATATCCACTCATTAAGAGACCACCCATTATACAACTCAGAGTATGAAGCTGGCTATGATGTTTTATCTCCAGATTATAACCATTCAGCAAAAAAGACTTTTCGACCAACTGAACCGGGAGGAAATCATTCACACACTTTCACAACAAATCCAACAGGCTTGGGTAAAGATTATATGCCACCATTTGTGACTGTATTCGCATGGTACCGCATTCATTGAACGCGCTTGAGCCCAGACCTTTGGGTTAAGGCTTACCGAATGAACTAAATATATTTTATGTCTGTAATTAATTAGGTAATGAACTGCGGAAATATATTTTATCGTTAATGTTTACGTTAATGGTTTCAGGTTATTCAATAATTAATTATTTTTGAAGAACTGAAGGTGTTACCATGTTACCATGTGCTACCAGGTTAATTAACTTCTCTGAAAAAATGAGACAACATGACATTTTGACAACAGTCCTGGAAATAAATTTTATCGTTAATGTTAGATCTAACCTCATTTCTAACCTCATTTCTACCCTCAAGATTTACAAACGTTTAACGTGATATACGTTATGAATTCGTGAAATTTTATATATTAATGTTTACGTTAATGGTTTCAGGTTATTCAATAATGAATTATTTTTGAAGAACTGAAGGTGCTACCATGTTACCATGTGCTACCAGGTTAATTAACTTCTCTGAAAAAATGAGACAACATGACATTTTGACAACAACACAGGAGGAAGGTATTTATGAATTATTTTTGAAGAACTGAAGGTGCTACCATGTTACCATATGCTACCAGGTTAATTAACTTCTCTGAAAAAATGAGACAACATGACATTTTGACAACAACACAGGAAATTTGATGCAGTCCAAAAATAAAGTTAGTTTTAAAATTATTTTTATTTTTTTATTCCTATATAAATGACAGCAACAAACAACAACAGCAACTATATCGTTTCTGATGAAAAAGTTATTGATTCATTAGCTGAGGAATTAGTTGTGGCAGAAACTAAAACCCTCAACGAAAGAATTGGTGAAAACAAGATTGATTTACATAACTACCTCAAACATGATGGAGGAAGAGGAAGGAAAACTGGTATGGCTTTATTAGTAAATAAAATTTCAAATTTAACGATTATAGATGTTGATATCAATAAATCGTACAATGATGAACTTAAAGAAACAGTTAGAAAAGATATTTTATCAAAACTTTCGGATAAAGATGTTATCGTTAAAACCGCTTCAGGAGGTCTTCACATTTATTGCAACACTAATTTCTTCTATTCAGTTTCGAACAGAATGATTAAATGTTATTCCTGCAATGATTATGATATTGACATAATGACTTCAATGGATGAATCAAAGCGTTCTTTAGTAGTTATGGCTGATTCAAGAGTTCGCAAGAATGCAACAGAACCAATCAATACATACTCATTCATTCGTGGAAGTTATGACTCGACCATAACCAGAACAGTGAATGATATATTAAATGATTTGAATATTAAGGTAAGAGTTGAACAGAAGAACGAAGAAATAAAGACTATCATGAATGAAAACAAAGATGTAAACATTGACGATAAACTTGCCCAGAGCATAATTGATGGCATCAATGATTTTGAAGTACATAATGACGGTGGAAACATGAATTTAGAAAAAGAAGTTACATTATTCACACTGTTTCAAGCAATTAATTCGTTACCTAATCATTTAATTAATGAAGCCTACGATAACGTTTATAACTTCTGCAGCTTAACAGAAAATGCAAAAAGTAATTTTGAAAAAGCACGTAGTAGATATGCACATTTAATGACTTCTCCATTTGTTTTAGTGAAGATTCTAAAACTATACTAAAAGGAATATTATGATGAATACGTTTTACCTTTATTACGTAAGCCAAAAATAACATTTGATATCAAACTTGATGACTCGTTTTTGATAACAGATATTAGATGCAGGGCTGAAAATCATCAGTATAAAAACAGTTCTGAAGTAATTGAGGATTTATCACGTGTAATCCGTTTTGTAGATTGTGGAAACAAATATTTCATTCAAAAGGACTATAATATTCATGATAAAATGAATCAAATATCATTCGTTCTTCAATCAAACATGAAAGAGTCACTTAAAATGATTAAATTATTTAAAGAAGAAGGTAAAACCATAACAGCATGGGATGTACTACTAAATCAATTGTCTTCATTAACCGTTAAGGGTGTTTGCTTTAAATCTGATTCCCCAGATGTTTTCTCAACGTTTCAGGGTTATAAATACAACGTTCTCGAAAAGCCTGATTACTCAAAAATTGAGATGTTTATAGATTTCATTAAAGAAGCCATATGTGATAATAATGATGAAGTGTATAAATACCTTCTCGGCTGGATTGCATCAATGATTCAACATCCTGGAATCAAGAATGAAACAGCAATTATTTTGAAAGGACTTCAGGGAACAGGTAAAAACAGATTTACAGACATTATTTCTGAACTTCTCGCTGGTTATTCAATCAAAAACATTACTGAAATAGGTGAGCTAACGGGTAATTTCAATTCAGTAGTTGAAAATAAAATGTTTCTTGTACTTAATGAACTCAAGAATGTAGGTGAAGATAGACTCGCAAACTTCAACGCTTTGAAATCAATTATAACGGATAATGAGATTAGAATTAATGAAAAGAATCAACCCAGAAGAACAGCTCAGAACGTTGCAAACTTCATTTTCGTAACTAATAACGTTTACCCTGTCAAAATTGAAGTTGGAGACAGAAGATACGTAGTTTTAAGAGTTAATGGTAAATTCAAGGGTCAATTTGATTACTTCAAGAATTTAATGGATTCATGCACAAAGGAATTTTATGATAATTTACTAACATATTTTATGCAATATGACCTTTCATCATTTAATGTACGAATCATACTGATGACTGAAGCCAAACAAGATTTAATTGAATTATCAACAAATCCTTTAGATGTATGGATAAATACACATTATGATGAATTGTGTGCAGGTATGACGTGTAAAAATGCTCTATTCTGCAAACCATCAGACATGAAAGACAAGAATTTTCAAATGAGCATTAAGGATAAATGTGATAGGAAACATAGAAGAATAGACGATAAACAAACATGGTGTTATGTTTTGAAAGAAGAAATGAAAGGATTATATAAACAGGTTGAACCAAACGATAATGAGGATTCATTTACTGATGATGAAATACCTGTAAATGATGCTTTATAAAGTATGATTTGAATTTATTTTTGCATTAATCCTTCTGTGTTGTTGTCAAAATGTCATGTTGTCTCATTTTTTCAGAGAAGTTAATTAACCTGGTAGCACATGGTAACATGGTAGCACCTTCAGTTCTTCAAAAATAATTCATAAATACCTTCCTCCTGTGTTGTTGTCAAAATGTCATGTTGTCACACTTTTTCAGAGAAGTTAATTAACCTGGTAGCACATGGTAACATGGTAGCACCTTCAGTTCTTCAAAAATAATTCATAAATGCCTTCCTCCTGTGTTGTTGTCAAAATGTCATGTTGTCTCATTTTTTCAGAGAAGTTAATTAACCTGGTAGCACATGGTAACATGGTAACACCTTCAGTTATTCGAGACGTTGTCGAAGAGGAATAAAAATTAAATTTGGATTGAGTTTAAAAATTCATCTTTATTAAATTCATCTCTTCCAATCAATTTATTTATTCTATTAAATTCTTTTATTTTTGCTTCACCCAGTTTAAGGATTGAACGGTAAGTTTCTAATTTTTCGATTATTTGTTTCCTCTCTTCATCGTTTTCAGTTCCATTAGTTTTATGGGCATCAGCCCCACCGCATTGTGGCTTCTTTTTGTAATAGCATATTTTTGATTTAATTCTGTTTAGTTTCTTTTTATATTCATCGTCAGGACTCTGAATCTTAATTAAATCAGGACTCTTGACTGCTTTGTTGTCACTCATTTCTTACGAAATAAAAAAATTAAATATTATTTAAATATAATGGAGTAATAAAATAAATTGGAATTTCTATTAATTTATTGTCAACTTCAACTAATGCATTGCCGTTAATATATCTAACAAATTCAGCTATTGTGTCAAATCTTCGTCTTCTTTTTGTCATTGATTTATTAGTTTTTCCATAATCGAGATGAATCAAAACTTTATCCCCTTGTTTAAAATTCATGAGCCCCGAATTAATTTGTTCACGTTTAACATCATTTAACCTTTCCATTTGCTTTCTAATATATTCCCATTCTTTTGAAATATCATTTTTCATTTCCACTGGTTTCATGTTTATAGTTCTATGCCATGTATTATTGTAATAATATACTAACTGTTGTATGATGGAGTCATGATTTCCATCCCAGTATATCTGACCGTTAACCCCTAACGCATCTCTAAGAGTTCTCATTACCGCATCAACTATTTTATTATGAAACGTATATGGAGAGGATGAAAAGAAAAAATTAATTTGTGGGAAATAATGAGTCATAGCTGCCTGAAATCCTTTATCACCATCACCCCTTATATTATCTACTCTTTCATGATCTAGTAAGTATTGTATAGCTCTTCTTGTTTCCTGTTCTGTTTTCCCTTTCACTGGAATGCAATATAAATATCTAGTGTTAATGTTAATGGCAAATAAATAAGTAACGTTTCCTTTTGAATATTCCAGATGATCGATTTCGTATGAATATGGATATGGTGCAAATGAAGGGCGACTAAATTTTTCCTTTAACGGTTGAATTTTTGGGTCAGTTGGTTTATTTAATATCTTGAAACCCTTTTTAAAATCTTTTTGTTTCTTTAATGTTTGAAATGGATATAATAAAGTGAATGATGAAGGATTAACTGAAGGAGGAGGTGGTACTGTCGTTGGAGGTTTTGGTGTTGCAAGTGGTTTAATTTTATCTGCTTTGATTTTGGATGATGAAGTTTTGGAATTCATTCCTCCTTTCATTAATTCTGGATGTATTCTATTCATTTGTTTTAAATATGCTGTATATAAAGGTTTGATATACTTTCCCGCTTCGAGTTTATGTTGAAGGATGAATTCCAAAAGTTGATCTTCATTTAAAAGTCGGGCTGAATATGGTTTAACTAATGAATCATAAATTAAAGCTTGTGCATCATTTATGGTCTGAAGGACCTGGGCGTTTTGTTCCTTTGGCTTTGGTTTTTGCGGCTCAGGATTATATAAATTATATAATTCATCAATATCTTCTTCTGTTAATACTTTATTTTTGAAATCTTTCAACTGTTTAAGTTGTGATTTAGTTTTTCCCTTTGAATATTCATTATTTTTAATTTTGTCTTTAATTTCAGAAATTATTTTATTATGATATTTCAAAATTTCATTTTTATAATATGGATAATAATATTCCATATCATCACCCGTTATATTATTATTATATTTTTGGAGATATGATTTTAATTCATAATAACTAAGAAAATTTTGATTAAGTACTAAATCATCAATTAAATTTTTTAAATCTGTGTTATCCATTTATATAAAAATAAAATAAATGTTTAAGGGTGCCCACCTCTTTGAATCATAGTATCAAAACCATCATTAACGGTTCCTTTTGTCTCTTCTGTGGCATTTCATTAAAAATAAAATTTTAAATTCATGACTCAACCCCTACGTTTTTAAATTCATGACTCAACCCCTACGTTTTTAAATTGTATTAAATAAATGGCATACAACATCCATTTTCACAACATACAGCCTTAGTGTGTGCTCCTGTTAATGCAGTCTTACCGATTGTTAAGCGAGTCATTGACCCATTTTTAAGTTGTAAATTAATATTCTGACCATCAAATATCACTTTATCATTTATTATATCCAAATATTTTTTAGGTGTTAATTGCTTATTTTGTCTTAAACTAACACCTTTCATTTTTTGTGCAATCTTTTTAAAATCACTCCCATCAATTGAACCGTTGAATGATGTATAACATTTAGGACATAAAGCAACCATGTTATCACCTTGTTTCTCAATTGCTAAACCCAATAACTTCTTCTCATGTGCTTTTTCTTCAGCTTTATTCTTTAATTTAGGTTTAAATTTCTCATCAAAACAGAAGAAATCAAAAGGTGCGAATTTGAAAATGTTTTTATCATAAAATTGTTTATCGTAACAATTGCTTGAAATGCTTGAGTGTTAGGAAGATTTGGATCGCCAGCGATTGCCCAATAAGATGAATCAGTATCACCTTCAATGAAATGAAAACGATTAACATCCATGCATTTATACATAAAATCATAAATGAAAACTAAATACCAGTATTTAGCATTATCTAAAGTGAAGAATGCCTCTTGTAAACATGTATCACATCTATAAAATCTATCTTTAAGCATCACTTGATATGTATCTTCACCTATTTCTCTTATGTTTTTAAACTTATTTGACATACATGCAACGCGTGCCTTCTGTGCATTCATTATTTTAGTCTTTGCGTAATTTTGTGTATTCATTGCATCGTAACCATATGATCCTTAAGCGAAATCTTGCAAAATAAACTTTTTCCTTTATTTCCTTCTAATTCAGCCTTTTGTCTTTCGTTCATAAATTTGTTCGCAAATTCATTAAAACAAGTGTTTTTCGTAAATGTTAAAATTGATTGAATGTCATCAATGATAAAATGAAATCTGTCTATTAGATACCAAAGATAATAAGAAGAAAATGGTTGATATTGGTTGTGTGTTGATGCTAACTGAGTTAATTTCCTCTGTTTCTGGTCAACTGGTAGATTGTTTGATTTCATGTAATTATACATAAAACTGCCAATTGTTTTTTCATCTGTGATAATATCTAAGTTTCTTATTATCGGTAAAAAGTTTATGTAATCATTAATGTATTTTTCATCAATGTGACCCTTTACTTCAGCCACAATAAAGTATTTTTCTTCTTAATTATTCCCAGTGCTTTTGCTTTCTTTGTTGCTGTATCACAAATGATAACACCATTCAATCTTCCCGGCATATACATTTTATGGTCAGTATATTGAATGAAATCATGAGGATTAGATGAAAATGATGAAGGATATAATGAATTAAAGTCAACTCCAACGAAATGAGTCATAATGTTGGAAGTGTCCTCATTTGATACAGTTTTAGTTTCTGGACTATATGAAAGTTTATTAATGTGTGTGATTCCTTTAAGATTTACTCTATGTTGAACATTTGATAGACCACCAGTAATTCCATTACGGAGAATGTGATAAGCTTCAACTGAATCTAAAGTCATTGGTAAATTATTTTTTAATGCGTAATTTCTTAAATTGATTCTTAAACGTTGAACATCTTCATCTTTATTTGATTTCACGACATTGCAATAACAACACATTAACTGACAATTTTCTTTAGTATGTGGTTTTTCATTATCGATTCTATCCAATGTTGGTTTATTTGCATATGTAAACGCTTTACCACACATTTTGCATTTAGATGAAAGGATTAAATCGTGATAGTATTGAAAATCATCCATTGAAACATTATTTTTAGTATCCCTTTCTGCTATTTCATCTTGTTTCTTATATGATTCAATTTTATATTTCCAATACTTTTTCGTTAATTCAAAACTTGATTCTATCTCTTCCTCAGGATATTTTTCATTAGGATTAAAGTCTTTATATGCTAAAGCGTAACGAATCATTGAAGCATTCGATGATAAAGAAAGATTATGAAGCATGTCAATTTTATAAACAAATGTTTCTTCAATAATTTTATCAATTGGGTCAATCATAATTTCAACATCTTTATTGCAATAATTAATAAAATATTCTAATCTATTCTTAAAGTTTTTAGCATCATTGAGATATATTTGATAATCACTATCTGATATAGTTTCTTGGGTTAATGCTGAATAAAATGAATCTTGAGTGAATGGTTCCTCTTTATATAATTCTTCTTCGTAATTTTCCCATGTGATGAATTGATAAGGGAAAAAGGATTTAACACGTGTTTTATTATTTCCGAAATCTTGAGTGAATTGGTCTAATGTTCCACCCGCTATATAATTTCTGATGTCAATAAATCTCAATTCATATGGAACGTTTGTTTTCTTTACAATGATTTGCTTAAATTGTGAAGATGAACCCAGCATTGATTTTATTTTCCATTTTGCAGTGTTTAAATCACGAAGAATTAAATTTAAATCAAACTTTCCCGAATTAAAACCTATGATATTCACTTTATTGAATTCCTCATCTAGAAGTTCTTTAAATGCTTCCTTCTGTTTTTCATTTAATGTATGAGACAAAGTCCCCGCCGTTTGGTCCGTTTGCGACTTCAATAATTCTTCATATTGTTCAATATTTGATTTAGCAACTAATGAACAGGTTGAAAATAAAAACTCAATCCAATCAGAAATAAAAGAATCACTCGAAGTTAAGCAAAAATTCCTCGTATATGTTTTATCATTTAATTTAACCGTTGATGATACCATGAATGGTTTTAAGTAAGCGTTCAAAGTTGCACACTCAGAAAGTTGTAATTCTTCTTTAGTCTCTAATGTTTCAAAGTCAAAAGTAATATAATATCTTGTCGGTTGATAATATTCCTGCAAATTATGAGCTAATAACCACTGATATATCTTCTGTTTCGTAATATGTGGTGCATATGGTTGCTGTGTCTTTTGCAATTGAACGTCTTGAATTAATCTTCCATTATTTTCTTTACATTTCTCACAATGTTTAAAAATCTTCTTTGGTTTTTCCTTTCTGGATCATCACGGATAGAATAAACTTCTTCTTTACAATATGGACAAACTCTATAGCTGGTGAGTGCTTCAACGTCTGTTATTCTGTCAGCGTGAAGTTTTCCACATGGACTCTGTGTTAATAAAATATTTACTGTTTCAAATTCTGGATCTATCATTATTGATTCCACTAATGGAAAGTCTACCTTATTTATGTCCACGTCTTCTGGTTGAGGATCACAATAATAGAAATCAATATTAACATTTAACATTCTCGCTAATCTCTCACTTTCTGATGAAATGTCAAACCCTTCATATGCATCTATTGCTTCATTTAAATAGCTTCTACGAGTTTTAGGATTAACACCATCAGGAATGTTATAGAAGCGTTTAAATAACCTTCTACCTTCTGCTCTAATTTGATTATCATTCATTTTAGCTGTTCCGTTTTTGTTCATTTATGTAAGAATAAAAAAAATTAAAAAAAAAAAAAAAAAAAAGTTTATTTTTTAAAGCCCATAAAATGAATTAAGAACACATAAATTTTTATCATCTGCGACGTGACGAATACATTTTAATTTACTCAAGAATGCGTACCCTGATACATTAAATCTAATTCCTGTCTTATTTAATTTCACAACTTTGAAAAGGAATGTATGAATAGCTATAAAATGATGAGAAGATGTTTTATGGGTTGCTTCCATTTTTTCTGAAATAAATGAATAAATATAATGTTTATAAGTTTTCATATCTTTTATGTTCTTAATAACGAATGGTATAGACCTTTCCACTTCATCTTCCTTCGGTGCTGTTCTTTCATATGAAACATTATTAGTATCTTCAACAATGAAACCGCAATCACACAAAATTTTATATGTTCCAATGGTTTCTTTTGATATTTTATCTAATAAATCAAAAACTTTATCAACACCTGTGCATTTATTTAAATAATAATTTGTGTAAATATCATGATCTTCTTTCTTAATCGTATTAGTTGCATACGTCACGTTTTTAAGAGCTTTTTTGAATTTCTCAGAATCGAGAGGGGGTGAAAGTAGGATACAGGGGTATTCTTCATTATCAATAAATTGTAACTTATGTTTACGAATAAATTTAGTACCTTCTTCTGAAAGTGTTTCGTCTATTTCACCATCTAATAAATTTTGTGTTGATTCTGAGACATAATTTTTATATTTTCTTCATGAGATTTCTGAACTTCTGATTCTGAAGCTGGGATATTCATTAAACCCTCTACTTCATTTTCATTATATTTTTCAAATTCTCTTAATTCCATAATTTTTTCATCTATTTCATCTCTTATTTTTTCCAGTCTTTCAATTTCATCGTATTCATCATCTTTAATCCGTTCTTCATAATATTCAGGGAAACATCAGGTTCTTTAGGTTTTTCTTCTTCAGATGTGGGATATAAGAAATTTATAACATCATCTTTATTCATTTTTCCATCATAATCAAACTCATTTAAAAACTCCGCGAATTTTTGACAATTTCTTAAATAATATTTATCAACCTCATAACCCGCCTCCTCTAATATATCCTTTATTTCCTCGTTTGTGAATCCTAATGTTTTCACGTCGTTAGTTTTGACGCTCATTTCATACAAAATAAAAATAAATTATTCAAAAATGTAAGACATGAATTTTTAAAGTTTATTTTTTTATTTTTTATTTCATTATGGTAGTGAATCTTTTACTCGTTTATGAGGTCTTTGATTATGACTCCATTGATTCCATTCAGGATTTAAACAATGTTTAATTAATCGCGGAATATCTGACATCATCTATATATAGCTTCTTTTATAAAAGATAAAAAATAAATTATTTTAAAATTAATATGTTAATTTTTTAATGCGTTTAGTATATAATATTTGGGCTGAGTGTAAATGTCTTACAATTTTGAAAATTTTTTAAATCTTGATTTATTCAAAAACGTAAGAATAAAAACCGTCAGAATCATACATTTTTTACTTCATATGTTAAAAAAAATGATACAAAATCGCTCGATATTGTATGAATTCTTACGTTTACAAAAAAAGTCACACAACCCTTCCACATATACTACTTAGATTGATCAATTATGAAAGTTTAATTAAATAAAATATTAGAAATCAGAAACAATATTATTTATATATTTTATGTTAAAGTTATAAAATTGAACTTTATTCGTAATCGAAAATCGAAATTGCAACTCAAATATTCTTTTTAGACTGAAATTAGTTAAATATCCTATTATCTAGCATAATGGCTAAAAGACTTCCCATTCGCAATCATTAAGTATTAAATATGGTCATCTGAGCATCCAATTAGCAATTATTGCATATTTCATAGTTTACAACATTATACTTGGAATTGAAACAGCTAATCCAAAAGGTATCAGCACTCTAAAATGACCATTTATTCCGGAAATTTAATTGAATATTATCTAATATTATTGCTTTAGGGATTAAGCATACTTTCATATAAAAATTTATTTCTTATATTGTTTTGCAATAACTACATGAATAATTTTGGAATAGAAAAAATAACAACAGTTAAACTTTATTTTCATACTTTCAGGGAATACAATTCAATGTTGGTTACAAATTCAATGATTTTAATTGCAGTATAGAAAAAAATTTATTCTAATTTCCATGCATTCTTGATTAACAATATGAAATGTTCATCATTATCGATAGAAGGTGAAATTTGGCGATAGTAGTTGATGAATTCGTCCTTTGTGATCTTTCCATCACCATTATCGTAATTTGCACATAAGTTCTTGAAAACCTCAGCAGCACTAACTTTACCAACACGGACAGCTTCTGATTTCTCTTTGTTGTGAACAGCTTGAAGATCTTTGATATCAACATAACCGTTATTATCTTTATCGATTGATTCGAAGGCCTTAACAACCATATCAATTCTTGCTTGGCTCATTGGCTTAGCAAGCCTGAACAAGAACTCTTCGTAATCAATTGCACCACTACCATCTCTATCAAGATCTTTTGAGAGAGCTGCAATCTGATCCTTGTTGTACTTCAATCCAATATCGTGAATTAACTTTGGAAACTCTTCTCTGATGTCGATCTTTTTATTTCCATCATCATCAGCGATGCCAAAAAGTCTTCCAATGCCTCTAATGCCAATAGCGCCACGCTCAATTATTCTTTGACGGATTTCTTCGTATAAAGGTTCAACAGACATGTATTCTTGTTGAGAAATGAAGTGATAAGAAATTGATAACAATGAAAATTTCATAAGAAAACTTCCGATAATTCAATAAAAACCTTATTAACGATAATTTAATTGAGTTTATATTAATAAAACTATACTGAGCAGTCCTCTCCCAGAATAAAGTCTTTTCTTTGACTGAAAAGTTACAACAAATTAAGGCATTTCCATTTATTGTCATAATTACAATCTTATTATGAATACTACAATTTTCAAAAAATTTAAGATCATTTTTGTTTCAATTTTTTGAATCGAAAAATTAATATTTCTTACCAATAAAAGTGCAAATATGGCATTTGATGTTTCTGTTCAAGCATTTATTAATAAAATGTTAATAAAATTGATCGCAGATTTTATGATTTAAACAATAAGATCTCTAAAATAGTTATTAAAGGCCTAACAAGATTCTATCAACATTTAATACATTACAAGTACTACAAGAGATAATAAAATAACTTCAGTTTCAATCGAATTTAGTGTATTAACACCAATTTTTAATAAATTGATAGTTTTGGCTTGAATTTATCATGCTTTAGCTAAACATTTGATTTATTAAACATACATACTGCCAATTGTTGAGTAATACATATTTAAACCCAATAATCTAAACTTTTTATCAATATATTTTCCAATAAACACGTCAACTCATCCAATTATCACTATGTTGACAGTTCTCCATTAGTAATATGTATTGTAATGCAAATAAATCAGCAGAAATATTTGAAAAAGTACAAAAATTACCCTTATTAAGTTGACAATAAAGTTTATCTTAAGTATTTACATATTTGTCATCTCAATTTCTCTAAAGTTTTTATATTCATTTGTGAAAAAGTGACAAAAATTATTTATCTCAATCTCTTATTTTTCTTTGTTAATTCGCTTGATAGGAACGCATTTATCAACAGACTACAATATATTCGGTCTTACCAACAAAGTGATGGTGGATTTGGTGAGATTGGTCAAAAATCAGATATCAAATCTTTAACACGCGCATTTTATATCATTACAACATTCGGATTGTACTCTAAAATCGATTTTTTGTCATCAAAATCATATTGTGATCGTCTAATCAATTCAGATGGTTTAGTTGGTTTCAGAGTTGGTGAAAAATCATCAATTCGAGGAATTTATTATTATACAAAGTTATCATCATTACCAATTACAAAACTTAATTCTGACAAAATCGAGCAATTCCTTTTAACAAATTTCGATAACAAAACTTCATTATTCAGAAACAATATTCATGATAAACCAAATATAAAATCAACATATTATGCTATAAAAATAATCAAAAGACTTCAATTAAATATTTCAAAATTTCAATTCATAAATCTCAAAAATTATCTTGAAGAAAATCATTTGAATCACTATTTTAAGTTTGAAAACATCTCAATTATCAGATCACAACAAATTGCTAAATACATACTTCATCATTTATTTGATATTTCGATTGACGAAAGTTTCATTTTCTTTGAAGACGAAATTCACAAATTAACACTCTTTAATAACATTTCTACAAAACAATATTATCAATTGCATTCACTTTCTAATCAATTTAGAACAGGAATTAGAGAAAATCATGAATATTCATTAAAAGAACTTTTTTATTCAACAAAAATCATTCACAAAACAGAAGATATCACACGTATTGTTTCTATTAATATGTCTGTTGTTAACAAAGATAACTCTATTCTTTCATTTGAATCAGAAAAGTTTGAAAAAATCCGATTTCGTCTAAAAATCACATTTTTTAATTTATATATCAATCCACTTTTGAAAATTAACTTTTCTATCAACAAAATCATTCAATTCAACGACAACAACCTTTCATCATCTGAATACTTTTACAAGAACAATATAGCACATCTAAAAGAGTCTCATACAAATCAAAATTACTTTAATAATCATTTATTCAATAATAAAGATAATCATGAAAATAAATCAGAAGAAATCGAAGAAATTATTGAAAATACTTCTGATCTAATAGCAAATGAAACTAATATAAATGAATCTCAAGAAATAGAAGAAAATATTAAAAAAGACAATGAAACTAATATTAATGAACAAAATATTTCTCAATCAAATGTAGATTATAATAATCAGAGTCACAAGATGTCATTAGATATGAGTACGGGTTTGTATGTTAGTGATGAATATTTTAATATTTCAGAATATGGTCAATATGAGATCATATTTCATATCAATCTTTTTGAGAGAAACTCAGGAAAGTTTTGTATTTCATTCAAAGAAAATATTTTTGTTTCAGTTCCATTTTTTGTTTCTGCTGAAACAGAAGATAATTCTAATATTGTTGAATACGGATCATCAATCAAAATATCATGTATTTCGCCAAATCATCTCAATGATTCGCATGTTTATTTCAAACTTTTTGATTCAAGCTTTTATCTTTTGAAGAAAGATCGAATCATTTTTTCATCAGACGAAATCATTTTCTATCATAAATTCACAGAAGAAAATATTATTTTTCCAGGAACAATTATCATTTTTATTGAAGTTGAAGATCCAGAAAATGGAATTTTCACTATTCGAGAACTGAAAAACATTCGATTTAAATGTCAATTTGAAGTTGAAAATTATTCATTTTCTAATTCATTCAAAGATGTTTATAGTTTGAAAATCATTCCAAAAATTGTTTCATGTAACAACATTAATTTGTATATTCCTCATGAACGCGCTCGATTCATTTTGAAATTGACAAGTTTATCACATTATATCGAAACTATCGAAGGAATTCCTATTTCATATGACAAACATATATATAGTTATCTTTTCAACTTTAAAGTTTCAGAAACTATTGATTTTATTCTTGATTTCAATTTTATCCTTTGCATCAACTATGAAACTAATATAAAAATGAACATCAAATCTCCGTTTTCAAACAAAAAATTGATTTTATCACAACTTAAAACAAATCTTTCATCAACTTCATCATCTTCATCAACAGAACAAAATATTAAATACAAAGTTAAACATGGAGATAATTTCACAATCTCATTTTTTGTTTTAGATTCAGAAAAACATAGAATTTTGAACATTCTTCATTGTGATATTTTTGTTTCTCTTCTTCAAGATAATGAAATCATCAAACGTATTAAATGCATTCAACGTGTTAATGGAATTTTTGAATGCAATGTTTTGATTGACAGTTATTTTTCGAAAGGACTTGTTTCTACATCTATTTCTGTTTTCAACAAAACTTTATCAACAAACGAAATATATTTTGATATTATTACTAACATTTCATTTTCTCTTCTTTATCATTATCATCATCATATTTTGACTATATATTCAGAATGCATTAGTGATGAACATTCTATTATATACGGTGGAAACTTTGAATATTATATATATGACATGCATCATCAATACATCATGAAACTGAAGAGTTCACGAGAACATAATTTAGTCAGTCTTCCATATAAATACACGCCATGTCATGTTATTCTTAAATATCAAAATCACGATAATATTTTGACCGAAATCTTTATTGAACGACGCTCATTTTTTAGATATTTTGTTGAAGAATTCGACATTGAATACATTTTCATTCTTATTTCATTTACACTTTTTACATTTTCAATATATCTTCGATATCACTTTTAAAATACATTATTTGCCTTATAAAACATACTATTTATTAAATTCTTTCTATATTTCTGTATTATCTCCACTTCTTTTTATACATTTATCGAGCGAAAAATACCTAGTTCATTCAATAATATCAAGGATATTTCATCTCTAAAATAAGTTAATCAAATTCTCAGATTAACTTTATTGGAAGCACTCTATATATACATGTAATGTTTATGTTTATTTTAAACCTTGAAAAAGGCTTCTGGTAAGTTTTTCATTTGATTTTAGATTCAAAAATGGAATACATTATTGAAACTAAATATATTTTGTCACAATTAAGACCATTTCGGATTAAAATTTTCGGAAGAAAAAAAAATAATCGGAAAATTTTACATCAAACATTTCATTCTTGTAGCAATGAATCTCTATATTCATTGCTCATATAAGTCCATTCCGATTCAAACTATATTTACGTTTCGAAGAATCAGCAACACGTATTTGGACACAATATTACGAAAACGTTTCTCCTCCAAAATTTATTACAGGGGACAACCCTCAAGTTGTTGAATCCGATAAACGATGCTTCACATATATCTGTCGATTCATTGATATTCAAGATAGAGCAATCAAATTCACGGATACAGAAGATTTTTCAATTTTACTCTGCGAAAACGTCTTTAACAAAGGACCAGGAACAGTCTTGATTGAAAGTAATTATGAAAACGACATTGTTATTGACAAATTTTGTTCATATGAAAGTCAAACTTCATCTAACGGTCAGTTTACGTATTTTAAAGGTAATATCAGCAGTACAATCCTCCAAGGATCAATTTATAATGGAGGAAACTCTTCACAAGATGCAATGATTGGCCAATTCCAAGGATATACATCTCTTTCAAAAACAAACATTACTAACTGCATTTGTCGTTTAGGAACAGGTTTTTATTACCTTGGTGTTCAGTCAACAACAAATGTTTCATTTTGTAATTTTGTGAATTTAGAAGTAACTGTATACGCAATCACTATGTTTTCTTCAAGTCCAGGAAATATTGAAAGATGTAATTATATAAACAACTCCCAAAAAGATACATATAATGGATTAGTTTTAGTTTGGGCTAAAAGACATGATATTTTAGATTCTTCTTTCCAAAATAACCTAAAAGATGTACCTTTATTTTGTTCGAATGGAGGACAGATTTCTATAATTCGATGCCATGTTGATAATTTTAAAGCTGATGGATTAGTTGATACATCAGAAATGACATCAAATTCATTTATTAATGAAATAGAGTTCTATACAACAAGTCCATGTGAAGAAAAATTAATTTTACGAAATCAAGATAAAAAAGATTCAATTTTTAAAAATCTTAAATTTATTGCATTAATAATGCTTTTCAAATCCAAATGATAAATAAAAATTTAATTATAAAGAATTGATAAATAATATTTTTTACTGAATCTAACAATTATAAAATAAAATTAATCTTGTGTTTGAAGAATTGGTTCTTCATTCAGATTAAGATTAATATTAATTTTAGATTTATGCTTCTTTATTGCATAAATAGTTATGAAAGTCACAAAAGCAATGAAAGAAGTACTTAAAACACAAATTAAAATCAAATATTTGTGTTTGAAAATAATTTGTTTGAATTTCCCTTCATATGTGCAGCCATAGTTAACAGTATCTAATCCGAATAATGGATAACTCTCGTTGTCACTCATTGTGTCAAAAACTCCAAACTTGCAATAGTTACTGTGTTCGTATGAAAATGCATAGAAATCGTAACTTGTTATATTTGATTTGTCTGTTGCTCGTAGAAATACTCGTTCTTGATCAATATAGTAGTATTCGTCTTTGATCGTTGAAATATAATCTGATGGACTCTCATATACGTACATCTGTGCTGTGTTTGATGATGTTGATTGTGTAACTCTGAAACTTGGGCCTATTGGGAAGATACAAATGTTGTTGAATGTCAAATTAGAGTCTGAGAGTGATCCATATGTTGACCCTTCTGAATAATACATGTAATCACACATTTTTCCTTTAGTAACAAATAAATTGAAATCGAATGTCATTTTATATGTCATATTATCGAGTTTGATTATAAAATTCTTGTGAGGCACGTATAATGCTTTAATAAATGTCATTGTTGTTATTTCTGTATAATTTGGGAAATAAAATGTCATTGAAGCTTCAAAATTTTTTGCGATAATAAACACTTGATCTTCTTTGTTTGTGAGAGCTATTTCAACTTCATCTCTTGGTTCCATTGTCATTGGATAAAAGCCTGGGTCTGTAATACGTAAACACAGAATATGAAACATTATTCAAAAATGATATTGATCGAGATGATTTAATACATTCAATTGAGTACCGTATTAGCAATTTAGATGCAACCAGTAAAAACTATTACTCGTTATTGAATTATTTAGAATTACTTTGGATATATAAGGAGGAAATCTTAAGTTGTTACTTCTGGAATCAAACGTCTAAGAATATAAGGAAAAAATGTTATTTTTTCAAATTTATGCATTTGATTTTGCAAATATTACATTAATTTTGATAAATTTTGAATATGCATATTGGAGCTGTTTTAGTTCAATATAGAAAGCATAGTGTTTATTGGAATGACAGTTTGTCACTTTTTGGTCGAAATGAAAACATTAATAATACATATTATATTATTGTTAATTTTCTATAATTTTTATGGAGAGTTTTCAATTTTTGAAATACTCTGAATTTTGTCAAAATCGGAATAAAAACATTTTGAAGATAAGTTTTTATCCACACGAAGAGAAGAGTTTTATAGGATGGATGCGTGAAACAAATAACATGTTTACGGGCGATGAATATCATTTCAGATTTGGCATTTGGATGTCAAATAAGAGAAGAATTCAGGAACATAATCGAGCAAATCTTGGATTTACTCTTGCTCTTAACAAATTTGCACATATGACAAAGTCCGAATATGAAAGTTTGCTTGGAACTACTATGCCAAATAGCTTTGGTAAAAACGGGAAAAAAGCCGAAAAAATTAATTCAGATATTTCTGAACATGTTGATTGGCGAGAAAAAAACGTTGTCAATCCTATCCAAAACCAAGGTGCCTGTGGTTCTTGCTGGGCATTTTCCGCAATTCAAGCTCAAGAATCTGCTTATGCTATTAAAACGCAAGTTCTTCAAAAGCTATCAGAGCAATTCTGCGTAGATTGTGTTGATGCAAGTCACGGCTGCAATGGTGGATGGATGGATTACGTTTACGATTGGGTTACCTATAATACACATGGAAAATACATGTTATTGTCAGATTATCCATACAAAGGAGTTCAAGGTTCATGCATTTATGATAAAACTAAGCTCACTTCCCATTTAGAAGGATATTACAATGTTCCACGTCAGAATGAAACAGCTTTAGCAGAATACATTGCTAACTACGGTCCTGCAGCTATTGCTGTTAATGCTTCTCCATATACTTTCACTTACTACTCAGGTGGAGTTTATACAGATTCAGCTTGCATTGCAACCATGTTAAACCACGGTGTTGGCTGTGTAGGATTTGGCAAAGAAGGTGATAAGAAGTACTGGATTGTCAGAAACTCTTCCGGACCTGAATGGGGTGAAAAAGGCTACATAAGAATAGGAAGAGATATGGGAAACCTTTGCGGTGTTTCTAGCGCAGCATTTGTTCCATATGCTTAAATTTATATCTAATAGTATATTTTAGTATTTATTTCTAATAAATATTCTATATATATTAGTTTTACAACAAAGATTTTTGAGTTTTGAAATAGGTAATTGTACAACTTTGAAGAATTAAAGAAAAATCTCATTGCAATTTCAATGTTAAATATAAAAAATCTTTTTTGCTTTGATAGAATCTATTAATAATCTTTATCATCAAGCATCCATTGATTTTAAAGGACATTTTGTAGCTAAGAATTTTTCATAAAATCAAAAATGATCATAGAAAGTACAGATTTGTTGATAATTTTCAAAAAAAATTTATTTTTTGTTTGAAAATTTCCTCTGAATTATAGGATATTGATACTTTAACGCTAAAATACAGGGCGAGCCTAAGAGATTTCATATGGAAAAATGCATAAAATTTAAAAGCATGGTTTCGTATTCTTATTTGATCATGTTCTCATGAATTTTTCCATTAACCAAACCTAGGAATCAAATTCTTAAGCATCCTATATGTAAGAAACAATAAAACCAGAGTGAGGTTCATTTCGGAAAGGAATTTCGATAAAAAAATTTTACCCAGATTTTCCTTACTTTTACCACCTCTCTAAAGCTGGGGACACCGCCTATCGTTGGGAGTAGCTATTAAATATAACCACCAAGGGTATTTTTCGAAATGCCGGTGTAGTGGAAACATCCGACATAATGATTCATTATGCTAAGGTTTGATTCCCATTTAGCAAATTTTTTTCTTTTTTGGATCATGAATTTTTTTTTGGGTCACTATAAGATTTGTTTCATGTTCTAAATCTGCTGCATATGTAATCTATTTTTATTTACCTATTTTTTAAAAATCTATTGGATTGCCAAATTTGAATATATTTAAAATCATAAAAATCCAAAAAAACTATAAATATATGTTTTATGCATAGTGCCGATACTCAAATATCAGATTACTTAGATCCATGAATAATATCCGAATTTTTTTTCTTAAAATTAAACTTCAAAACTTCTTGCAATCTTATTCTTCATCAATTGTAAATTTTTAAAACCATTTTTTAAAATAATTTTGCGTAAATTTTATTCTCATGTTGTTTTAATCGAAAATTGATACATTTTCAAAAAAATAATATTGACTTATGAAATTCATTTTTAAGGTGAAATAGTATTGTTTTTATTAAAGTATATGAATAATATATAAAAAATTAATGAATAATATAAGCAGATTTTTAGTTTACAAAACAAATATGAGCAATGCAATTTCAAACTTTTGCTGGCAATTTCGATATTGCTCAAGTTTGTAGTATTTGTGATACCTATAACATCGGCTTAATCAAAATTCGATTTTTCTTATGAGTTATTGAGAAAATTTGATTGCAATGAGAAGGATTTCGACGTTTTTGATAAACTAAGAGCTGAGCTTTAGGGGTTCAGTTCATTTATGGCTGTAGTTTGATGCGTAGATCTCTTTTTTATTGTAAATTCTTTCAGCATGGAGATCGAGAATGAATCTTTTGAGAACTTTATGAGTTTTTACACCCGTAAAGAGGTCCTTCGAGGAAAGATAGTCCAGACTACATGAAGATGTGGGTTAACCAAAAAAATCCGATGGTTTCCCCATATTCATGTAGATCTTCGAAAAAATGAGCACCAAAAAAGCCAAAAAAATAGGCTTTTTATTGGATTTGTACACTAGATCAATAATCTATTTAGGATCTGACACTCTTTTTAGCCAGAGATATGAGGTCCTTTCTAGGAAAACGATCTATTCATCCATAAAAAAAATGAATTATCGTTTTCCCCAGAAATTACATGGGGAGTGGTAAAAGTAAGGAAAATCTGGGTATTTCCTATTATTGCAACCATCAAACGATATTCCATCATAATTATAGAAATGCCCCAAAGACCTAAAAGAAAGCCTGTAAAATTACGAGAATTTGTGGTTCTTCATTCAATGTTTTTGATAGGTCTTCTCAATATTGAATCACTTCTTTCAATTTTTTTTTCAGTTTATATTGTTTTTATCTGTCCTTTGCATTCAAGAGATTAAATTCTCACCGGGATACCCACAAACAGTAGATATACCCGGGGAAGGTGCCCTATTAATTCCTATTACAACAAGTGTTATTTATTTTCCTGATAAAGAAAATTTTGAAATTGCAGTGGATAGCACTTACATAGCACCTCCAAATAGTATAAAAGTCAACACAAAAGACAATAAACCACATACTTTAACGTTTGGCGTCATAAATACTCCATCTGGGTCTTGTCAATGGACTATCATAACAGAACCATATTATAGAATCGATAAGGATGATATGAAAAATGACAACCTCATGTGCATTGCCATTTTCTCTAAGAAACCAACTTTCACAAATTATATGGTTAGAACCGTTGATATTGATAATGATGACAAGGTTCTAATATATTCTGACAACAATAAGCTTATATATACGATGTCATCTTATGATTCTTTCCATTATAACACGACATCTTTCGTTTTGTTTTTCAGAACAGACTCTTACAACACACAAGGCTTTATTTATGCTTTTGATACGGATAAGTTCGTTTCAAACGGTGAACACTCAGTTTTGATTTCAAATACAATTATTTACAATATTTTGCCTTACAGATACTTTATCGTCCATAATCCTCAATATTTTGAATTTACCATGCCACAGCTTGCAAGAGTTTACGGAGAAGCTGCTTTTTACACCCTTGAAGTTAGTAAATTCGAAATTCGACCGAAAGATAGCAAACATACACTTCATTTTGTCATCGTTCAACCACCATACGTTAACTGTCAAAACATAACGATTTATGATGGTTATTCAGGAAATTTCTCAATTGAAGGCTCATTTTACCACAACAATTGCTTTTTGATGGCATCGCCCTACATTATGGATTACTACCTTTACGTTTCTGGCCTCCAAGGAACAGCAAATATTTATTGTCCAAATGGAGATTTTGTTGTGAGTCTAAAAGATGAATATGGGTTCGTTACACGTTTACCAACAATATTGATGCACATAAAGATCGAGAAAACAGACCAAAAATCAATAATTTGCCTTCAACAATCTGAAATTATTTCTCCATTGTTTCCAAATGAAGTTTTCAATGACAAATTCGTGACTAACTTCACAGCCAGCCAGCAAATAGTCCAATATGAAAAGAGATTTTACAGATTTTCCACAGGATTTTATCAATATTACATTCCTGAGCAAGGATCTAAGTTTTACTTCAATAGGAACTCATTATATATCTTCCACAATCCATCATCATTTACTATTAAAGGAAATGACGTTTCTTTACTAGAAAATGATGATTATGTTGTAAATATCACTGATTTCAGATTGACAGCTGTAGTTAAATCAAAGGATTCAACACGATATTTGAATATATCAGTGTTTAACTACAAAGCGTTGGATACTTTTTCAAAATGTAACTCAGTTGACATAATTGACTTGAATTCCAACTTCAAGGACTTTGTTTCTACATCATACAATGACAAAACATTCAATGGAAATAACATAAACTTTTCCGTTGAAGCACAACAAAGAATTTGTCTTTGGTATGTATCTTCGAACCCATTTACCATGAACATATACAGACATCATCTTGAGAATCAAAATGATTTCCATATTTATTCAGAAAAACTTGGAGTTTTCAATGAAATCGAATATCCAAGTACAGTTACGAGCCGTTCGATACTTTCAATATGGACAACGAAAGATGAAGTCGATGGAATAGACGAAGGAGGCGCTTTTATTAGCGTTTCCCAAGATTATTATGATTTTGATGAAAAAGGTGGAACTTTTAGAGGTACAAGGTCATACATGGACTTCCCATTTGCAAAACATAATAGTTCAACGGGATATGTGTTGAATTTAGGTACCAGAGAAGAAAAATTAAATTTTGGACAAAAAACTTCTCAAAAGAAACAATTAACTACTGTCCAAATCGCGCTGATAGTATTCGCAGCAATTATATTTGCTGTAATTGTAGTTGTAATCATAGTTGTCGCTCAAAAACATAAATCAGACGAAGTAAACAATAATATCGGAAAAGGAGATAATGAAGTTGAAATGGAAGATATTCCTCACCAAACAATGTATTCATCTTCCAATCCAACACCAAACAACTCCGCAGCTGTAACTACAAATTCTCCTATTGCTTCTGCGACATCTTCAATAGATGCAACACATCTACAAACAGATTCGTCAAGCAGACCAAAGAATCCATACGAGCCTACATCAACTATGACTGCAACAGAATATAATCAATAATTTTTAGTTTTTTTTATTTGTTAATGCTTATAAAATTGTTTGTTATTTTAGAATACGTCTTATCTCATCGTTTCTTCATCAGCTGAAAGCTTTTTTCCAACAAAATTTCCAAATTCTTGGCATTAGAATTTGATATCTATGTTTTTCCTTAAAATATATAACATATATATCACATCAAATATAATATCACATCAGATTTCGCATTATCATGAGTTTTTCAAATTTGGTTTTATATGTTGTCGAGATGAGATACTAAATTTGGGACAGCCCGAATTCATACAATATGGAGATTATTAATTTATCATAAATATGAATAGAAATATCATTCTGAGATTTCAAAATTAACGATAAATTGTAAACTTTTAACGATGCCAATCAAGAGCAAAGGCCAAATAAAAGATATGTTTTGGTATTAGTTGTGTAGATTAAAATTATAGCGAAATCGCAATTTAAATTTATTCACACCATTTGAATGGGTCTGAATTTTTTGTGAATGTAATTCTGATTGATAGAATTTTTATCGTCAAACCGAAAATTACACTCAAATGAATTCAGCATATTCTTAGAAAATCATTTTTTATTAGACAATATGGCTATTTGTGATCAATCAATGATGAACATCAAGTATTTAATGCTTCCAAGCATTTTCACACTTCCTTTTCCAACATATCAAAAAATTCCTGAAATCATTCATCAATCAATCCAAATACCATCTTCTGATGATGAATCAACAACCAGGAATGATGTAGAGCAACCACATAAGATATCTGTAAAAGGATCCTGGTCTCAGGAAGAAGATGCCTTACTCAAGAAAGCAGTTCTTAGTCAATCACCAATTCTTTGGGATATTGTTGCCGAACAAGTTCCAGGAAGAACTGCAATACAGTGTAAAAAACGTTGGCTCTATAGGTTACATCCAGAAGTTAAGAAGACACGCTTTGAGAAGTGGGAAGATGACTTGATCATTGCCGAAAGAAAGAAACATGGCAATCATTGGACATTAATAGCTACAAAACTTCCTGGCCGTACATCATGCGCTGTTAAGAATCGATGGTATTCAGTACTTAGAAATAGAAATTGAAAATTTTCTATGAAACTATTATTGAATTTACGCATTGATGAAGCGCTTGTATATATGCTTATCTATGTCTATATAGTAAATTGTTTGTAATATTAATCTTTGTTAATTTTCTTGATAATTTTTATATTAAAATCAAGATCTCGAAATGATATACTGATATATTATAGTCAAATAATCTTATCCAAAGATGCTGCACCTCATTAAATAAAACAATTCGACATTTCATACTTATTGGAAAACATTCGACTTTAAATCATTCCAAAAGTTGTAATTAATTATTCTTTTCTAGTGAGACTTCGTAATCAATAGCTATTCAAGTAGATACAAAAAAAATTTCATTCGATTAATTTTATTTATAATGTATTATTGAAATACAGTATGAATTTTCATTGTGGTGCATCTTTCTAAGCTTCTCTTAAATTAAGAGCTTTCATTATGGATAAAAGCTATTTGATCTATTTTGCAGGTGATCTTTTTGACCAGAAACATATTACAGGAAATGCACTCCTTGGCCAAATGATTGAAAAGGTTTCAAAAGGTAAATATAAATGCCACCTTCCTCAAAATAAAGAAACAATTAAAGATCGTGGAACCCCAATTCGTGATAAAGATATCGAAAATCTTATGAAATGCGATTGTGCAATATTCAATTTCGATGGAACAGATCTAGATTCTGGCACTGTCGTTGAATTTTGTTATGCAAAGATGGTGGACATCCCTTCCATTCAATTGAGAACAGATTTTCGTCAATGCGGCGATCAAAACGATGGTGGAGATCCATGGAACTTAATGTGCTCGGGATATCCGCGAACAAAATCGTTACTACTTAATGCTCTTGGAATCTGGCAAGAATCTCGCGCCAAATATCCAAACCTTTCAGAGCAGTTAGAATATTACCATAAAAGCATTGCCATTAAGATAATTGAACAATTAGATGATGTAATTGCTATAAAACCGCTTTTTAATGGCAGTGTTGATCAAGCAAATTCAGCTTACAATTGGGCCGTTAAAACAGTTGGCGGTAAATTAAATGAATATCTAACAGAAAGCTGCATATCGGAGTTAATTCAATCAAAACACGCTAAAGGACTAATTTAATAATGTTTTCTTTCATATCTTTCGTAAAAAATCAACGTTATAATAGACGGCAACGATATAAAATTTTGAGAGGAATTACAACGATAATTCATATTCGTGAATCATCAAGGTCAGGTAAGTGGGGCTTCCAGGCACTTCGTGCCCTCTAGCCCCGAAGATGTTTAGTATAAATGAAGTTTTTATTCGGAAAATTGTTAGTCTTCTGGTGTGAATTCGGAGGACTCTTCTTGGATAGAGTCTTGTATTTCCTCCTCCATTGCTTCTGGGTCGAAAACATTATATAATGTGTCGCTTTTCACAAATTATATATGTTTTCATGTTTTGTCACTTTTCTGTCACTTTTCAGGAAAAAACATTTTTATTATTATATATAAATGAATTTTACAAAACCACCGTTACCCTTCTTTGGAAATAAGAGTAGATGTAAAGATATTCTATTGAGAGAACTTAAGAAACTACCGAATGGTCTAACATTTGTAGATTTGTTCGGTGGAAGTTTCTATATATCCCATTTATGTCATACAATATTCCCAGACTCAAAGATTATATGCAATGACTTCGACAACTATATGAACCGTCTCAAACATATTCCAGACACAAACAATATATTGAAAGAGTTAAAAGAAAAGATACCTATAGGTAAGATGGAACGTATACCATTAGATAAGAAAAATATTGTGAGAGAGGTTTTGAAAAAAGCAGAATATATAGACTGGGATAGTATATCTGCTAGACTATTATATAGTGGTGCTATAAGAGTTCATGACATTGAAACACTTATGTCAAAAGTTTTATATCTTAACTATACAAATGTTTTCAAAGAGAACATAGAAAAATATATTGAGGGTATAGAGTTTGTGAGATGTCGTTGGACAGAGTTGTATGAAAAATATAAAGACAAGGAAAATGTTTTCTTTATAGTGGACCCGCCGTTCTATAACACATGGGATTTTCAATACCAAGTAGACTGGACTTTGAGAGACTCTTTAGAAACTTTAGACGTTATACATAACCATCCATGCTTTTACTTTACATCCGATAAAAGTGGTTTGGAAACCGTTATGAGATGGTTAGAGGACATACATGACTATGAGTTTATATATGACAAGATAGAATATGAGAGAGGTTCTATAAACTGGAGAAAGTGTCACAATAAAGAAATTTTATTAGTAAGTAAATGTGGTTTGAAATCGGATTGTTAGTTTTAGGTTTTTTCCATTGTGTCATTTATTTATTTGACGTGGCAGAAAAGTACAGAGAATATGAAGATGAACCAATGCCTGCAAATGTTCAGTATATGTACTCGTAAGAGATATTTTTATCTAATATTAAATGGACGCACAGAACTTAGCGAATGCACAGCAACCTGGACAACCAAACCCAGAGAATATTCCAAATGAAGTTAGAATACAAACTGCAATGGCAAACTATGGTCAAGTGCCAACAGATGTACAAATGCAAACTGCCATGTCAAATGACGCTGCGTTAGGTTTGCCACCATGGTATGCAAATATGAGATGGAAAGAGTTTTATACAAACCCCGAAGTGGGATATAAACAACTTTATGCAGATGACGCGAACACAGGAGTTGACCCAGAATATGTTTTCTACCAGAGGAGAAACAGAATGTATGAGCTCCAGTTAAAGAATGCTATGGAACTCAACAGGAAACGTAAGAGACTAGGCGGACATTAGATTTTTACACATAGTAAATGGGTTTCTTCAGTAAGATAGGAAACTTCTTCAGAAGAGTTGGAAGAGGTATATGGAATGGAATAAAATCTGTCGGAAGAGGAGTATGGAACGGTGTCAAAAATATTGGTAAAAGAGTAGGTCAGTTCGTTGGTATTATACCTAAAGACCCTGAACCAGAAGAACAAGCTCCTGTTATACAACAGCCTGAACCTGCACCACAGTCTAGTTGGCAACCAAATCCAACACCTCAACCGTATTAAAAAATTATATTTTTACCGTTCGATAGTAGTTGTATATGAAACTAAGTTCTAAGTAAAACGCATGGTATAATGGAATTATTCTTTTTCTTCCATCTGTAGTAAACCATACTTGAAAGTCTGAAATACTTCCACTTGGTGGTTCGTATAACTTTGTAGGTTTTTCGTAAAAATCATTCATCAGACATAAGAAAGAGTTTTGCGCACCAGAAAATGAAGCATGAACAATAATAGCATCTGGGTCGAAAATATTTTCATATGTTCCATTAGGGTTTTCGACTTCATAATAGTCCGGGTGTACTGGATATGCTGCAGGCTGATTTAACATCCTCATAAATCTATACCATGCCAAGTTGTTATATTTTGTAGAAATATAAACGTTTTCTACAAGGTCTTCTATTTTATTGATTTTAACAGTTGCATTTTTCCTGTCATAAATAATATCGAGATGGTATTCTCCTTCGTCAATGTTAAACTGGTTTGCATACTCAATATAGATATCGTTTATTTTTTCTTGAAAAGCTTGAAGAGTTGTTTCTAAGTTTATAAGCAAATTCACTTGTAAAAGTTTTCCTTGTTCAAATTTCTCATACATACGTTTTTCTTTGTTATAGTATCGAACTTCAAAACCGACCGTAAATGGGAAACCATGTATGGCTTCTGAAATGAACTTCATTCTACGAAAGCCAATAGCTTTTGTGACAGATGGGTCTCTTAACCATCTTAATGGGTAGTCAAAACGATAGCCTTCATGCTTTACGGTATCTGTCTCAAACTTTTGACCGACATTAGTAAAAAGTTCATCTAATGGTTTAGTTGTAGCAACTCTTGAATTTTCTTTTTCTATTGGAAGCATAGTTTATCTATAATAAAAATGTCAAATGAAACAGCGTCTATGAGAGAAATACAACACAACCGACAACTCATTATGCAAGCTCTAAATAAGAACACAACAAACTTTTCAAACTATTCTAAGATATCTGAGTCATTGAAAGAAGGAAACTTAAAACTGACAATAAACCCAATGACAGATGAGTTTCTGTTTCAAGACAATAAGAACCATACTGTCTGTATAAATCCAACAAAAGGAACTTTAAACGAGAAACCTATAAATGAACTTCTTTTGAAAGCAGATGTTGACAACAAAGCTGACAAAGAATATGTAGACGATGCAATAGCAAAAGAAGAAGAAAGAGCTAACAATGCTTATGCAACAAAAGAACATACTCATCCTGAACTAGCAGACAAAACACATGTTGACAATAAAATGTCAAGTGAAGTGACAAGAGCTGAAAACGAATATTCTAAAAAGACTCATATACATTATATTAACCAAATACCAAGTCTTAAGGAAACATTAGAGACAAAAGCAGATAAGACTCATACACATTCTATATCTGATATTACAAACTTACAAGAAACCTTAAACAGGAAAAGTGACGTTGGACATACACATTCTATATCTGATATTACAAACTTACAAGAAACCTTAAACAGGAAAAGTGACGTTGGACATACACATTCTATATCTGATATTACAAACTTACAAGAAACCTTAAACAGGAAAAGTGACGTTGGACATACACATACATCTTCTGAAATAACAGACTTAAACGTTAGCCTTGAAAATAAAGCAGATAAAACATATGTCAATGAAATATACCAAAGTTTGATAGGAACAAAAAATATTGAAACTATTGTTGGTGACTTTTCTGTCAATGAAGAAAATAAATATTTTAGATGGCAGTTGGTACAGTCCTTAAAAAATGGTACACGGTATAAACTCATTCCGAAAAATAACAATGAAATGTATGTAAGCTATAAAAAGAATGATGGTACACAAGTTAAAGTTCCATTAGACAACAACTGCTACTTAAACTTATATGGAGACGAACAAAAGAAATATTTAAGAGTTTATGAAATGGCAGATATGACATTGCCTGACCCAGCTCCAGCACCACATTATTATGACTATGGAGATGACGACAGAACACCACATGTAGATGAACAAAAGCTAACATTATATTTAGATTATTATAGATATAAAAGATATAATGCAATAGAAAAAACGAGAATAGTATATTATTATACAGATGACAGAAATAAATATTATAGTCAAGATTTTACCTACCCTGAAAACATAAGATTATATTATAAAAAATATTCTGACACAAACCAGAAGAAACCTGAAATAGTTGCACTATATTTTAAGTTCAAAAGAGACAATCCTATAATATCTCATATGTTTGATTTAATGAACCCAGTAGGTTCTATTTATACATCTATGGAAGCAAGAGGTCCTCAAGTAATGTTTGGTGTTGGTGCATGGGAACAAATAGTCGACAGGTTTTGTATTGTGCAAACTCTTCAAAGGAAACAGGTGGAAGTAAAACGATTTCAGGTGAAAATTTACCTCCACACAGTCACTACATAGATTTAAGTACATCTCAAGCAGGTTGGCATAAGCATAGATATTGGGATTGGTCAGGAATGACAAAAGGTAAAGGATATGATGTTAAAGACGACGTTAAGTTTGCTATAAATTGTTACTGGAGTGACACTCAGGGAGAAGGAAACCATACACATTTTGTTTCAGGATATACGCAAACAACGGGACAAAGTAAAGAATACATGCCACCTTACATGACAGTTTACGCATGGTATAGAATTGCTTAGTCGTCATTTTCAACTTCTTTAGCATATTCGTCAGGAGTTGTCTTATATTTGTTAGGAACTGTCTTTGAAAGTATACCACCTTGAACTTTGACAAGTTTGAAACGAGGTCTGGCAATAGTAGTTTTATCTTCTGCTTGCAGTGTGTACATTTTGCCATGTTTGCCTAAAACTTCATAATATTCTCTTGTATACTTTCTTCTATTTTTACGAACACGAATGTGAGTACCTGTCGAGTTCCCATTGTTGTCATAGTCAATAGTATTTTCATATGGGTCGCGTTTAGGTATTTCTATTTTTACTTTGTCACCTTTCTGAAGTTTGAAGCCCGGCATTCTTTCTTGTTTGTCTCTTTTGACTAAATTATTAAATATA